CCAAGGCTTGGGCATAGCCCTACCTTGGGGGCATTTCTGGCCAAAAGGTGAGAATGCCTTCAGCTCAACTCTTCAAAGCCCAGGTGCTGGGAATGGGTTTTTATTAGGTAAATTTAGTCAAGTACCTGGAATACCTCCCTTATCTTGAGTTTTGGTGAAACCTCCTGATATTTTGGGGAATTGGAACCGACCAGGACTATAAAATAAACACGCTGCCTTGGGACTTGGCTCTTTGCCTCTCCACCAGAAGAGGACAGAAGTCCACCCAGGCCCAGCTTTGCTTTCTATTTTGTGTCTGTCTTTCATTTTTCTCAATCCCCAAGGCGCCTCCATTTGAAGGAACCGGTTCACACTCTCTTTCCCGTGCGGGACGCGGAGAAGGGAGCCCCATGCCCTGGAACACTCTTGCAGTCCGGGAGCCCTCGGGGGATGTCCGACTAACGGCTTAGGCCCGCTCCTCATGGGCCCAAGCTGGCAGTCAGACATCCTTACCGCTGCCGCAGAGGCGGGAGAGGCTTCCACCACCATCGCTGCACTCGCCAGCCATGAGCCCAGCTTGTGGCTGAGCGGCGCTCCCCCGTGGGAGTGCACTGACCATCAGGGGGCAGCTCCTGTGTTGAGCATCTGCCCTCTGGTGGTCAGTGCACATCATAGCAACTAGTTGTTCCTCCATTCAGTCGATTTGCATATTAGCCTTTTATTATATAGGATTTCTTTGCGTGTTTTTTGTTAATCCTCATCAGAGGATATTTTCCCACTGATTTTTAGAAAGAGTGGAAGGGAGAGGGAGAGACAGGGAGAAACATCAATGTGAGAGAGGCACATCAATTGGTTGCCTCCTGCACACACCCCGACCAGGGCCAGGGAACCTGCAACTGAGGTATGTGCCCTTGACCGGAAACGAACCTGGGACCCTTCAGTCCATGAGTCGATGCTCTATCCACGGAGTCAAACCGGTTAGGACTTATTTATTCTTATTTTTATTTTAAAGAAAAGTAGCCCTAGCTGGTTTGGCTCAATGGATAGAGCATTGGCCTGCAGACTGAAGGGTCCCAGGTTCGATTCCGGCCAAGGGCACATGCCTGGGCTGCGGGCTCAATCCCCAGTAGGGGGCATGCAGGAGGCAGCCGATCAATGATTCTCTCTCATCTTTGATGTTTCTCTCTCTCTCTCCCTCTCCCTTCCTCTCTAAGATCAATAAAATATATATATTAAAAAAGAAAAGAAAAGAAAAGTAAACAGGTTTCACTTACAGCTATATACAGGTTAGAGAAAGTATCTGAGGTTCCAGTTTCTCATGAGGACTCTTAGAGGCACATGAGGCCCAGTCTCACTGATCTGCTTCCCAGGGAGCTAGTCAAGGAGGGTTTGAAGGGGGAGATACTAGGAAACCCGACAGTAGAAAATCCAAATTCAACAGAAGTCACAGTGCACCAAGATCCAGTAGCTGACCATAAAATCAGGAAAACTGACCTACCAGTAAGAATGCTGTTGACTCGATTCCAAATTTCTGAATCTCACATATGGAAAATATTTAATTTTTTCCAGGAATGTTGACATACTTTAAAAAATACTAAACAGCCCTAAACGGTTTGGCTCAGTGGATAGAGCGTCGGCCTGCCAACTGAAGGGTCCCAAGTTCGATTCCGGTCAAGGGCATGTAACTTAGTTGCGGGCATATCCCCAGTAGCGGGTGTGCAGGAGGCAGCTGATTGGTTTCTAACTCTCTATCCCTCTCCCTTCCTCTCTATAAAAAAATTAATAAAATATATTTTTTAAAAAATACTAAACATAATATATACTCCAAGCAAAAAAGATATATCTAAATAGTTATTGCTTTCTTAGTCTTGCCTGGATATTCCCTTTAGACTTTTGAAGATTCTCAAATTCAGTGAGTAGGCATTTGTTGCTGCTGTGCGGACGAACAGGATGTGGCCCTGCCCTTGAGCTCACCGAGGAGAGGGAGACAGATGTGGAACACACAGGCAGCTACTGTGTGACAGGTGTGAGAACACAGCCTGAGCTTAAGGCTAGGGCAGAAACTGAGGCAAGGGAGCAATGAACTCTGCTTCTAGGAAGAACTACTGACCAGCCCCTTTGAGCAGCCCTAATGGGTGACTAGGAGTGCAGGGGGGTTGGAGGGGGGAAGGGGAGCAGCATCAGCAACAGGATGAAGTGAGGCAACACTCAGCACAGGGCAAGGCAGGGCAGGGCAGGGCCGTGTCAAGGGCTCACTGTGCTAAAACCCTGTGAGCAGAGGAGTCTAAGTAAGAGTGGGACCCAACAGGTTTGGGGTGGAAAAAGCACTGTAGAAAAATACGTCAGGAAATAAAAATGGGGACAGTAAATATAGTTCAGGTTTAAAAACCTATTTAGAATTTTTAAAGTAATCTTTAAAATACAAGTTTAGAATAAACTACTAGGGTTTCATTATACCTTATTAATTTCTTGGAAATTATCCCTTAAAGTGTTTTACTTTAAAAAAGAAAATATATTGGACTCCACCAAGATGGCGGCATAGGTAAACACCGGAGACTGCTGCCGCAAACAACCACTTCAAAAATACAACTAAAAGACGGAACGGACATCACCCAGAACCGCAGGAAGGCTGGCTGAGGAGAGACTCTTCAACTAGAAGGAAAAATAACAGCACACCGAGGCTCAGAGGAGGCGCAGTGTGGAAAATACTCAGGTGCGGAGGTGCGCGCGCAAAGCGGGCTGGTGGCTGAGAGCGCGGTTGTCGTTTTCGGTCAGGGGGGAGTCTCAGACTCTGAGCTCCAGATACGGGCGAATCGCTGGGGACTCGGACCCAAACGGGAGAAGCGGGAGTGTCTGGCATCAGTTGGAAGGCAGCTTTCTCTCCGAGGTTTGCAGCGGTTCCTGGGGTTCTGAGAAGCAGAGCCTCTGGGAACGGGACTGAGAGGGGCTATAACCGCTCCCTCCGCCCGCCCTGTTGAGCCCGCCCCGCCCAAGCCCTGCGCAGAGCCATTTGCCGGATCGCCTCAGGCAAAGGCTAGATTAGCACCTCCCCAGAGGACAGAAGTTTTCCGCGGCAGACACAGCTGATTCACACAGCCAGTCGGCCTGGTGGTCAAATCCCTCTAGTATTAACTACAACAATCAAGGCTCAACTAGAACAAGACTGCGCACAAAGACCACTAGGGGGTGCACCAAGAAAGCATAAAAAATGCGGAGACAAAAAAACATGACAGAAATGGAGGATATAGAGCTAAAAAACGCAATTTTGAGGGCTTGCAATAAACTTTTGGAGAGCTTCACGAAAACTAATGAGACCCTCGATGCTATGATAAAGAAACTAGAAATTAAGCATACACGCTCTGAAATAAAGAATATTACACCCAATAGCAGACCAGAGGAGCGCAAGAATCAAGTCAAAGATTTGAAATGCGAAGAAGCAAAAAACACCCAACCGGAAAAGCAAAATGAAAAAAGAATCCGAAAATACGAAGATAGTGTAAGGAGCCTCTGGGACAGCTTCAAGCGTACAAACATCAGAATAATTGGGGTGCCAGAAGATGAGAGACAGCAAGATATTGAAAACCTATTTGAAGAAATAATGGCAGAAAACTTCCCCCACCTGGTGAAAGAAATGGACTTACAGGTCCAAGAAGCGCAGAGAACCCCAAACAAAAGGAATCCAAAGAGGACCACACCAAGACACATCATAATTAAAATGCCAAGAGCAAAAGACAAAGAGAGAATCTTAAAAGCAGCAAGAGAAAGAGACTCAATTACCTACAAGGGAATACCCATACGACTGTCAGCTGATTTCTCAACAGAAACTTTGCAGGCCAGAAGGGAGTGGCAAGAAATATTCAAAGTGATGAATAGCAAGAACCTACAACCAAGATTACTTTATCCAGCAAAGCTATCATTCAGAATTGAAGGTCAGATAAAGAGCTTCACAGATAAGGAAAAGCTAAAGGAGTTCATCACCACTAAACCAGTATTATATGAAATGCTGAAAGGTATCCTTTAAGAGGAGGAAGAAGAAAAAGGTAAAGATACAAATTGTGAACAACAAACATGCATCTATCAACAAGTGAATCTAAGAATCAAGTGAATAAATAATCTGATGTACAGAATGAACTGGTGATTATAATGAATCAGGGACATAGAAAGGGAATGGACTGACTATTCTTGGGGGGGAAAGGGGAATGAGAGATGCGGGAAGAGACTGGACAAAAATCGTGCACCTATGGATGAGGACAGTGGGTGGGGAGTGAGGGCGGAGGGTGGGGCGGGAACTGGGAGAAGGGGAGTTATGGGGGGGAAAAAAAGAGGAACAAATGTAATCTGAACAATAAAGATTAAAAAAAAAAAGAAAATATATTTAATTATTTCATAAAGTTTATTCACATTACCTTTTGTTTTTAATTAGTAAAATATCAAAAACACAACACTACTTGCCATTCCTCACTGGTAACAGTACCATTCTGGTTTAACTGTTGGTGCAATTCTTTATTTTCTTTCACTACTTCTTGGACGCGAATCCTGAACGTTCTCATTTCCTCCTGAAATAAAATTTATGTAAACATAATATACACATACACACATACCTATATTTCTTAGTTCTACTGCTGTTGCTGGGCTAAAGTCAAATGCTAACAGCTTTTTAGCGAGTCTCACAGTAACAGCAGCCTGACACCAAGTGCTGCCCTGGAGGCGCTCAGTCTTGTGAGAAAACATGAGATAAAAACAATGCTGAGCACAAGGGACGCTGAACCTCAGGATTTAAACATTCAAATCCTAATTTCATAACATTTTTCTACAACTGCCAAATACTTGGAAAAATAAAAAGACCATAAGAAAAGCAGAGATGCTTGTAAACACTATAATTTTTCCTTTGTTTAAAGACTTTGGAGGATAAAATGGAGCTTTTTTAGATAAAAATAAGACCTTTTCAAGAGATTAGTGTGGGGGCTGGAGTCTCTTAATTTGGCTCCATTACAATTACAAGTGAGCCTCTGCTAAAGCCCTCAGTCAGTACAGCTTCGTCAGTCATTAGCCCCAACTCCAGGACTGTTGCTTGGTCTTAGTTTTTAACTCCTAAGTCTGTGTTTGTGGCACTTAAAAATTTAATTACTAGTACAGCTAACATCCAATCTTATTTTATACTAGAGGCTCTATGCATGAAGATTCGTGCAAGAATAGGCCTTCCTTCCCCAGCTGCTGGCACCGCCTTCACTCCAGCCGGAGCCGCCTTTCCGCCTTCGCACGCTGCCCAGAGGCCCGGAGCGGCCAGGGCGAGGTGGAACGCCTGCGTCATTGCCATGGCAAGTGTCCCGGCCCATCCACCGCCATCTTTGTCACGTCAATTTGCATTTCCCTCCTTATTGGCTGTGGGCGCCGTCATCTTTGTTGTGAAGTGATGGTCAATTTGCATATCCCATCTTCATTAGATAGAATTAGTTTCAGGTGAACATACACCTGTGGCACTCTGCTGGGCCTCCTCCATCTCAGCTTTTCTCAGGCAGCCTTTGGCTAGTGTTAGTGTTGTGCTGTCCTTCAGTGAGAATCCTAGGTGCCAATATTTATTCTGGGATGCTTCTATATTTTCTTCTCCCAACCAACAGATATTTATGCTAATACCTGTTAACTTAATACAATGCCAAGTAACTCCTCTACTTCCCACTTGCTGGCAGTCCACTGGCTCTTTTCAGAACAGGGGTCAGGCAAACTAAAGCCCGCAGGCCAGTTGCCTGTTTTATAAATATAGTTTTTTAAAAAATATATATTTTTATTGATTTCAGAAAGGGAGGGAAAGGGGGAGAGAGAGAGATAGAAACATCAATGATGAGAGAGAATTATTGATGGGCTGCCTCCTGCATGCCCCCTAGTGGGGATCAAACTCTCAACCTGGTTCATAGGTCGTGACCAACTGGTTCATAGGTCGATGCTCAACCACTGAGTCATGCCAGCCCGGCTGTAAATAAAGTTTTATTGGGACGCAGACATGCTCACTTGTTGGGTGTCTATGGCTGCTTTCATGGTACAACGGCAGAGCTGAGTAGTTGTAAAACACAGACTGCATGGTTTGCAAAGCCTAAATTATTTACTAAATGGCCCTTTACAGAAAATGTTTCCTGTGGGTTTTTTAAGTTAATGATTTCATAGAGAAAGAGAAGCATTGATTTGTTGCCCCACTTACTTATACAGTCATTGTTGCTTCTTGTATAAGCCTGACCAGGAATAAACACAAAACCTTGGTGTATTGGATAATGCCCTAACCAACTAAGCTATCTGGCCAGAGCTCCTGACCCGTTTTAGAAAGAGCACTGAATTAGTAATTTTATTAATTATTAGGGTGGATATTTCATCAATCAGTCTAAGATTACTTTGTCCTCTAGAAGAAAATTTTCAAAACTGCATTACAGCCCAGGCCGGTCAGCTCAGTTGTCCTACAAGGTTTGATCTCCAGTCAGAGCACACACGAGAATCAACCAATGAGAGCATACATAAGTGGAACAGCAAAAATCAAGGTTCTCTCTCTCTCTCTCTCTCTTTCCCTCCCTCTAAAATCAATAAATATTTTAAAAAATATTTTTTAAAACTGCATTACATGAGCCATGTACATGGGACAGTGTAATAAGAAAAGGCTTGGTGACTCTTAAGAGACCCAGGGATCCCAGGAAAACCAACACTTCTCTCCCTGGACCCTTCCACTTCCAGAGATCTCTCTGGCCACTTCAATGAGGGACTAGAGGTATGCAGCCTGGAAAGGCATGGACATATCTGCAACACCCACAGAGCCTGGGTCTCCTGTGTAATGCAAATGAGCTCCACTGCCAGAAGCCATTCCCCCAAAAAACAGAGGTGAATAAGGCAGAAAAGAATGAAAACCTCACTTTCTCACTGTTTCCAACAGCTCAATAATTGGAATTCCCTGAGGTCGCCTCTTCACAGCCTGCTACCATCCCCAGTCTGCCCAAATGTCCCTTCTAACAGTGGTGCTTGCAGCTACAGACAATCAGGAAAGAAGTGCCTTGCACTGCTGCCTTCCTGCACCCTGAGACCCCAGCCCATGTGGGGCTGCCTGTCTGGGAACTTCCAATGCAGCACCACCCTGTCCCTCCATAACTCCATCTAACCCTGCCCACCCCTCCTGCTCCACCCATCACTCCCAACCTGCCTCCCCTCTTCCTTCTTTCCCTGCCTCCTAGCCTCCTTCCTTCCTTCCTTCCTTTCTCCTTTCCTTTAACAAACATTTGAGTACCTGTTAGATGTTTGAATAGGTATTCAAAGTTTAAAATGGTCTTATTTTTTAATAAATCTTGTCTCTTCTGACATCTGCCAACCTACCTGAAGGGTGGAAATGAGCTCGTCTTTTTCTTTCATTCGGTCTTCATAAGCCAGCAACAAGGGTGACAGGTACTTTACATCCAACTGAAGATAACGGTTAGTAAAGAAGGTTAATATATTTCTTACATCTAAACACAGCCAGCAAATTTTTTTTAAAGATGATAAAATACACTTAATTTGGAATGGATTTGAATAGCTATTCAAATATAGCCCAGAAAATATGGGCCTGAAATTAAATAACTTTTACTTACCAACCAGGGTGGTATAGGGCCCTTTGATGGTAGGCCTTCAATAGTTATACTCTAAGAACAAAACACATTTTGTAGACAAATTAAACTATAATTCTGAAATTCAAGCCTTAAGATATTCTTAATCAACTATGCATCAGCAATCTATGCATCTATATGTGTAGAAAATGTTCTTTTGGAATGTTTGAGAATAATTTGAGATACAATGCCTCCTTTCCTGTAATACTTCAGTGTATATCTCCTAAAAAGAAAAACCTTCACTTACTCAACCACACTGCCATCATAAAAATCAAGAACTCAACAGTGACATACTATATTCTAATCTACAGAATATATTCAACTTTCACCTATTTTCTATGAGTTCAACTATTTTTTTTTAATACCATGTAGTATTTTGGGGAGTATAACTGTTCACAGTTTCTTATGATCCTTAGTATTTTTGTGTTATCAGTTCTAATGCCTCCTCTTTATTTCTAATTTTATTTGAATCATCTTTTTTCTTAGTCTAGCTAAAGGGTGGTCAAATGTATTTGTCTTTTCAAAAAACCAGTTCTTAGTTTCATTGATGTGTTCTGTTGTCTTTTTAGTCTCTATTTCATTTATTTCTGCTGATTTTCATTTTATTCCTCTTGTTAACTTTGAGCTAAAAGTCTTCTTTTGTTTAGTTCCTCAAGGTGTAAACTTAGGTTATTTATTTATTCTTAATTTTTAACGTTTGTATTTATTGCTATAAATTTCCCTTTAGAATTACTTTTGCTGCTTCCCATAAGTTTTGGCACGTCATGCTTCCATTTTCATTTGTTTTGAGGTATTTTTTATTCCTTTTCCATTTTCATTTGTTTTAAGGTATTTTTTTACTTCTCTTTTGACCCACTGGTTGTTCAGTAGCATGTTGTTCAATGTCCACATATTTGTAAATTTTCTTATACTTGATTTCTAATTTCATACACTGTGGTCAGAAAAGATGCTTGATATGTCAATATTCTTAAATTTATTAAGACTTGTTTTGTGTCCGAACATATGATCTGTCCTGGAGAATGTTCCATGTGCACTTGAGAAGAGTGTGTATTCTGCTGCTGTTGGAGGAAAAGTTCTGTATTAGGTCTGTCTGATCTAACATGCAGTTTAAGTCCAATATTTCCTTATGATTTTCCGTCTTGATGATCTATCTATTATTGGGGTATGGAAGTCCCCTACTATTATTGCTATTTTTCCCTTCAGTTGTTAACATTTGCTTTATATATTTAGGTGCTCTGAAATTGAGTACATAAATATTTACAATTATTATATTCTCTTGATGAATTGCCTCCTTTACCATTATGTAATCACCTTCTTTGTTTCTTTTACCGTTTTAATTTAAACTCTATTTTGTCTGATATAAGCATAGTTACCCCTTCTTTCTTTTGGCTTCCATTTACATTAAATGTATGTTTCTATCCCTTCGCTTTCAGTCTAAGTATGTCCTTACAGCTGAAGTGAGTCTTTTGTAGGCAGCAGATAGTTGGATCTTTTTTCCGTTTATCCATTCTGCCACTCTATGTCTTTTGACTGTAGAATTTAGTCCTTTCATTTTAATTAATTATTAAGTATGGCCTTTTTAGTTGCCATCTGTTCATTGTTTGCTGGCTGTTTTGTAATTCCTTTCTGCCTTTCTTGCTCTCTTCCTTTGTGATTTGATGCTTTTCTGTATTGGTATGTTTTGATTCTTCCTTTCTCTTTCTCTTTTGTGTACATCTATTATAGATATTTGCTTTGTGATTACCATGAGGCTTGCATAAGACATTTTTAACAGTCATTTTAAGCGAATAACAACTTAACTTTGAGCTTCTAATCAGCTTGCATCTACATGCTTACTACAATTCCCTTCATTGGGTCACTGGTGGGTCTCAGTACACAATAAACACACACAGCTCTATATTTTTACCACCACCCCACATTTTGTTTTTGATATAATTTATACCTTTTTATATTGTTTATCCATTAACAAATTATTGTATAGTTATTTTGAATACTTTTGTCTTTAACCTTTATACTAGAGGTATGATTTACATCATTACAATATTGGAGTATTTTGAATTTAACTATATATTTACCTTTACCAGTAAGTTTTATACTTTCATGATTTTGTTACTAATTAGTACCTATTCTTTTCAGCTTGAAGAACTCCATTTAAAAAAAATATTTTTTTATTGATTTCAAAGAGGAAGAGAGAAGGAACATAGAAACATCAATAAGAAAGAATCATTGATTGGCTGCCTCCTACACACCCCCTACAGGGGATTGAGCCTGCAACCTGCACATAAGCCCTGACAGGGAATCGAACTGTGACCTCCTGGTTCATAGGTCAACACTCAACCACTGAACCACACTGGCTGGGCATTGAAGAATTCCTTTTAACATTTCTTGTAAGGCTGGTCAGCTAGTGATGAATTCCTTTGAATTTTGTTTGTCTGGAAAACTCTTTATCTCAGTTCTGAAGGACCACTTTTCCAGGTAGACTATTCTTATTTGGCAGAATTTTTTCTTTCAGCACTTTGAATAGATCATCCTACTCCCTTGTGGCCTGCAGTTTCTGCTGAAAAAATCCACTTATAGTCTTATGGAGGTTCCCTTGTATGTGAAGAACATTTTCTCTTGCTATTTTTAAGATTCTCTCTTGTAGACTCACTGACTCCAAGTGGGAAATGGCCATTTTGCGTGCTCCTTTTACCTTTTGACAATTTAAAATAATGTGGTTTGGTGTGGGTCTCTTTATTTTATTTATTTATCTTATTTATTTTTTTGTTAATCCTCACCCAAGGATATTTTCCAATTGGTTTTTAGGGAGAGTGGAAAAGAGAGAGAGAAAGACACAGAGAGAAACATCAATGTGAGAGAAACACATCGATTGGTTGCCTTATACTAGGGCCAGGGCCCAAGGAACCTGCAACCAAGGTATGTGCCCTTGACCAGGACTGAATCCGGGACCCTCTGGTTCGCAGGCCGACACTCTATCCACTAAGCCAAACCGGCTAGGGTGGTGTGGGTCTCTTTAGATTAATTTGGTACTCTGGACTTCCTGAATCTGGTTATCTGTTTCTTTCCCTAGGTTAGGGGAGTTTTCAGCCATTATTTCTTTGATAAGGTTTCTGTCCCTTTCTCTCTTTTTCTTCTGAGACCTCTATAATGTGTATATACATCTGCTTGATGGTATGCCCTAAGTCCCTTAAGCTATCTTCACACTTTTTCATTCTTTTTTGATTCTCTGATTGGATGAATACCACTGCCCTGTTTTCAAGTTTGCTGATCCTTTTTCCATTTGCTTTAGTCTGCTGTGGAACCCTTCTATTGAATTTTTCAGTTTAGTTATTGTATTCTTCAGCTTTATGATTTCTTTGGTACCTTTTTATATCTTCTATCTCTGTTGAAATTCTCTCTTGTTCATGCATTGCTTTCCTGACCTCGATGAGCATCTTTAATTTTTTTGTTTTGAGAGTACTGTTGTGAAAGCTGGGGACAGTGAAACAAGGAAGAGCTTAGGATAGAAGCAGCAACAGAAGAGAGCCTAGGCAGGACTGCTTTGGCTCATTGGAGAGTCAGAGAACAGGGGGCCTTGGAGATAGGTTCAGGGGGTTAGCCCAGGACAAGCTGCCTCCGCCTATTGCTCTCCTGGTTGCCAGTCTCGTGGGGCCCCTCAGATGCATGGCTGAGAAGGAAGAAAGGTGTGGGCGTGCTCCCCAGAGGGAGAGCTCCCTTGATGAGCATCTTTACTACTGTTATACGACTGAGTAAATCACTTATTTCCATTTCATTAAGGCTGGTTTCTGAAGATTAATTTTGTTCTTTTGTTTGAAACACATTCCTTCCTTTCTTCATTTTCCTGGACCCTCTGAGTTAGTGTTGCTAATTAGATAAAGCAGCCTCCTCTCCTAGTCTTGGCAGAATGGTCTCTTAAAGGAGATGAACCTCACCAATCAGCCCAGTTGGAGTTCCTGGTTGCCTTTCAAACCTTTGTGATAGTCCACTGTCTTTGTTCTTAGTGGCTCCCAGTAGTTGAGGAGTTACCAAGACCCACGGTGTCCCAACGAGGGGGCTGCAGTCAGCACCTAGACACAGGATGATTAGAAGCCAGACCCTCAGGCAGCAGTCAGGAAAGTATGCAGTTACACCCCTTTAAGGGAAAAAGTGGGAGATGGCCATTTTTGCATGCTCTCTTTGTGCTGAGCCTGGATATACAGCTTCGGAGTTTGGGGGTGTGCTGCTGAGCCCATTTAAAAACTGTTTCTTGTTTGCTATAAATCTGTGTGGGACTCATGAATGCAAGTCCCACTGACTAGAGTGAGGTGATTTGGGGTCTGTATAAACTAGTCTGTCTTCTTTTGAGAGCTAGTGCACTGATAAATTACAGTTGTAAACTTGAGGAACAAGACTTAGAATGGAGCCCTAGGTGGTTTGGCTCAGTGGATAGAGCGTTGGCCTGTGGACTGAAGGGTCCCAGGTTCGATTCTGGTCAAGGGCACATTCCCGGGTTGCAGGCTCGATCCCCAGTGGGGGCGTGCAGGAGGTAGCCAATCAATGATTCTCTCTCATCACTGATATTTCTAGCTCTCTCTCCCTCTCCCTTCCTTTCTGAAATCAATAAATATATATTTAAAAAAAAAAAGAGGGAAGGACGGGAAGAAAGGAAGGGAGGAGATGGAGGGGAGAAGAACGAAATAGAAAGGTCCCTAGAATATGCTGTGCTTTGTATGTGTCTTTTTATGCCAAATTGTAATAAATATGAATCCCTCAATTCAACTTGAAAGGCTAAAAAAAGGCTGATTTTTCTTAATTGGAAACATTACCTCTTCCTTCGATAAATGCCTGAATTTTGTTTGATATCTGCTCAGTTCTACATTCAAACGATGGACAGTCATTTTCAACCCATCATTTTCATCCACCAGTTCTTGAGCTTGTTTTCTTAGATAAAGTAATTCAGGTGCAGCAACTACTGAAAAAAATTAATATTATACTCTAAGAATGTGTATCAAATAGATTAAGATTTTAAATGAATTGCTAACCATCTGCCCTTTTTTCCCTTTTGGGCTCACAGAGGCAGTGAATTACAAATATATAGGTTCAAGTGAATAAAAGTTTCTAAGTTTTTTAACACTAACTAGTCAACACTTTGGAAGTTTGTGGAAATTTTTACATGTACAACTAATTAAGGTAAAATAAAAACTTTAGATTGAAAAGGAAGTCATTGTTTCCAATGATATATAAATATTTGCCTTGCAAATCATATAGTATAAATGGAAAATTTATTAAAATAACTTTCCCAAATATTAGAAAACATAATAGAAAATAGATCCCACAAAGTAATAACACAAATAATGTAAAGTATCTAGAAATAAGTGTGACTAAGACAAGAATTATGCAAGGTTTATATGAAGAAAATGATATAATCTTTCTTCAGGCAATAATATTAGCCTTATATAAATAGATAGATGTATAGAGACAAAAATCAGTGAATATATGTATAACCTGAGAGGTAAAAAGGATTGACATCAAGGGCATAAGCCATAAAAGAAAAATATCCTTTAGATTTAAATTATCAACAGAGAAAATATTACATACACGACAAAGGCTAACATCCTTAATACACAGAGAGCTCCTACAAAACAATGAGAAAAAGCCAGATATCTCAATTTAAAGTCAGAAAATTTAGCCCTGGCCATTGTGGCTCAGTTGGTTGGAGCGTCATCCAATGTACCAAAAGGCTGCAGTATATGCAACCTAGAGCATACACCTAGGTTGTGAGTTTGGTCCCCAGTCAGGGTGTGTATGGGAAGCAACCAATTGATGTTTCTCTCTCACATAGATGTTTCTCTCTCTCTCTCTCTCTCTCTCTCTCTCTCTCTCTCTAAGTCAATAAAAACATATCCTCGGGTGAGAATTTAAAAAACAACAACATACCAATGTTAACTTCTTACCATGGACAACTGTACTATTGTTAAGAGGTTGACATTAAAAACCTGAATAAAGAATATAATGCAGCCCTGGCTGGGCTGGATCGCCAGTAGTGGGTGTGCAGGAGGCAACCAATAGATGCTTATGTTTTTTACATTTTATTTATCTTTTTTTGTTGTTGCTAATCTTCACCTGAGGATATTTTTCCATTGATTTTTAGAGAGTGGAAGGGAGGGGAAAAGCCACATCCATTGGTTGCCTACTGCACGTGTCCCCACCAGGGCTGGGGATTGAACCTGCAATCCAGGTATGTGTCCTTGACCAGAATCAAACTAGGATCCTTCAGCCTGCGGGACAACGTTCTATCCACTGAGCCAAACCGACTAGGGATAAAACATAAAAAAATGTTTATGTTTTGATCTCTCCCTCTCCCTTCCTCTTTCTCTAAAATAAATAAAAACATGTTTTTTAAAGTGGGAAAATTTATAAAAGAAAATGATATGCAAAGATATGAAAAAAATACCCAAGCTCACTGATAATAAGAGAAATACAATTTAAAATGGGATTCCTGCCCTAACCAGTTTGGCTCAGTGGATAGAGCGTTGGCCTACGGACTGAAGGGTCCCATGTTCGATTCTGGTCAAATGTTTCTAACTCTCTATCCCTCTCCCTTCCTCTCTGTAAAAAATCAATAAAATATATTTTTTTTAAAAATGGGATTCTTTCTTTGCCTATCAAATTAGCAAAAAAAAATATAATCCTCATTATTGGGAAATATGTGGTGAAAAGGCACTTTTATATGAGATATATGTAAAGTTCCTTTCCTAAGCATCAAATCCAGAAGTATTAGAATTTCTTTAGTATAATAATAATGATATAGCAGATAAAGTCAAATTTCACAAAAGAACCTAAAATATATCAACATTAAAATCAATAAATATTACAACCTAAAATATTAACTCTCAAAATAAGAAAATGAGTTAAGTCCTGTTTGTTCCTTTAATTAAAAAACTGTAGTTGTCCCCACCTTCCTTAGAGGATGCCTTCTCAGCCTCTTTCAGCTTTCCATTTTCTTTTACTATTCTCTTAAATTTTAATTGTAGTTCTTTCATTGCTTGTTTTACTATGTTAAGTTCAAGAGTAAGTGTTTGGTTTGTTGTGTTCAGATGCAAATTTTCTTCTTTTAATTCCTCAAACTTTTCTTTGGTTATTTCTATACATCGTTGACGTTTTTTACCAGTTATATCTGAAAAGGTATAAGGAAAACGTTTTAAAATATTGACATTTACAATTTTACATCAAAATTATGTGAGACTTGGTTTGAAAAACCATGTTAGCAACTACTTTGTGTCAGGCCTCATGTTATCCTCTTTGCTCCTGGGGAAGAGAATGGCCTGCACAAGAAAGAATGAGTGGTCTGATGAGACTACAGTGGATGACAGAAGAGAGGTGACAGAGAGGGAAGCAGGACTCAGGGGAGGCGCTTGCATATCATAATATGCAGAGTGGAGGCCACCAGGAACCAGGAAGGCTTTTGGGCAGAGGTGTGAAAAGAAGAGAGAGGTTCTACTCTCAGATGAGTCCCTCAGGGCAGCAGTCAAGAAAGGGAAGGAATGAGGCCCAGCCCAGAGGAGCTCTGAGGGCAGCACTACGAGGGGAACAAAGAAGGGATATATGAGCGAAAGACTCAGGGGCTAAAGCCCCACAGGACCCAACAGGGAGGGGCAAATCAAGATCTGCCTTTGGAAGACACTTAGCCAGACAAGGAAACAAGTGGAGCAAGAGAAGCTAAGCTCGGTTTAGGACACAGGACCATAGCGCTGAGGGCAGCCTCAGCTGAAAGAGGGGAGCCACCAGGATGTGGGCAGTATCTGATGGCACCATGGAGAGAAGGAAACCAGAGATCACAAAGGATTTTAAGAAGGAAAAGCAAGAAAGATGGGAAGAGCCCTAGCCGGTTTGGCTCAGTGGACAGAGCGTCAGCCTGCGGACTGAAGGTTTCCAAGTTCGATTCCGGCCGAGGGCACATGCCCAGGTTGTGGGCTCGATCCCCAGTAGGGGAAGTGCAGGAGGCAGTGATTAATGATTCTCTCTCATCATTGATGTTTCTCTCTCCCTCTCTGAAATCACTAAAAATATATTTAAAAAAGAAAAGAAAAAGGAAAGATGGGAAGAAAACAGAGCGATGTTCCGTGGAGAGATATGCTCACAGAGCTCAAAAAAGGTGAAAACTACAATGGGCTCCCTGGCCAGGGCAGACCTCCAAATGGAGGTGGAAACAGAAGCAGAGCTTCTGTGGATAGACAAGGGGGGGAAGGCTGGTGGCTCCAGACAGTAGATTCAGCACATACCCCAAGGGGACAGGCAAAAGCTAGGGAGGGGACAGGTGACTCCAGATAACACCCTCTGACCCTGATACGCATATATCCAGTCTTTAGAACATGAAAGGCTAAGAAATGAGTAACTCCACAGCTACACTGAGAACAAGAGGGGAACCCCAGAAAGAAAACAATTAAGATTAGGCTGAAGACAGAAGCTGCAGCCTAAAATATGTCAGGAGACATCAGCTACAAAAGGTGGGGATGCCTCCCCCTGGCAGATAATAGGAACCTAAATGGCCTAGAAGATGTCCAGTTAGAGCACCAGATGGGGCTCAAATCCTTTGGGCCAGCAGGCACTGAAGTCCGAGAGGCAGGGCAGGCCCGAAGGGGTGTAGAATCCCATAAGGAAGAGGGACCCCTAAAACCCCTGACTGGCCCGTCAGTCACTGGAGACAGGCTATACAATTGGCAGCCTTGCTGGTTTCCCCATCTGAGCAGCCTGCAGTAAGCAGACACAGCATCTCCAGGCAGACCAACAGGGGCTCTCAAGGACCAAGGTGGGCACACCACCAAGAACCAGCAAGTGTCAGAGCCAAGAGAAGCACCCAAGTCAAATTATAGAGAAGAGAGTGGCTGGCACAAAAATGACAAGATTTTGGAATAAGTATATTTAACATTTTCAAAGAGATTCTTGTTGATATTTCATAGAAATCATATAAGCAGACATTTTGAGTAATACATCAATTCAAAGGATGGGCTAAGTGGCAGGATATATACAAAGATGAATGAGCCTATGGCTAGAAGTCAGAGCCCTAGCAAACTCCTACACCACCAAAACCACAGAGATAGAATGGGTGAAAGTCAAGTCAACACTAAGATAGAATGGAGGACAGGCTGAAAAGTCTTGATACCCAATACAGTTTTTGGATAGTGATGTGAAGCCTAACAGGTAAAATTTACAAAGTTCACTTTGAAAGCTACCGAAGCTCCACAAACATTATAGGGGAGAGTGCCCCAGAAAACATCTCTAAATCTCACATTGCCTCCAGCCTCAGAGCAGAACCCTTATTTGCATATACCCACCCTCCCAGTATCTAAGCACATCCCACAGGTCCTTCCAGCCCCCACTCCCAGGATCTGAGCACAGCTCCAGAGGACATACTTCCACTATAAGCTTTTCAATCATAATCAAATTCAAAAGGCAAATACCTGGGGAGGGTGGAGGTTTTCCACATAATGGTGTTTTTTCATCCTAAGGGGAAAAAAGTCATGAGCCTAATAAATTGAGAGTGTTAGCATCTTCTGTTCAAACGTTCTGCCTTTTTGCCTGTAAGTTCAGTCAGTCACTGTCTTTATATGTAGGTCCCATGAGTAATGGGCCATCAGTTCACATTCTTAAAGCATGTGATATGGCTGCAGGTGCTGAGCAGAGAGATGTGCAAAGCAAACTCCAGCCAGGCCTTTCTCCTTGGGACATGCAAGAAGACCCCATAAACTGCAGAGAAGCATGTTTTTCAGGGTGCTGAGAAAAGAATATAAGTTCTTGCTTTTCAACACAAAACCTCGAGGAAAGGGAAAGCTTTAACTTTTGTTAATTTTTCCATTACACATCAGTCTGATACTAAGTTTCTAATTTCTGCTGAAAAAGTAGATGAGGTTTATAAATTAACTAGAGGCCCGGTGCATGAAATTTGTGCACAGTAGGGTCCCTAGGCCTGGTTGGCGATCAGGGCCGATTGGAGCCTTCCGGCTGCCAGCTGGAGCCTTCCTTCGTTCTGCGCCGCCCCCTGGTGGTTAGCGCACATCATAGCAAGCAATCTGTCTGGTCAAACTCCCTTGGGGACAATTTGCATATTAGGCTTTTTTATATATAGATTCTACTGAGAAATGTTTAATTTTTAAATTTCTATGACCTCACACAATTCAAAACTTAACACCTTTCGTACCGCATAGAAATCTCTAAGACATATGCCAGGGACCGCACGTTTCTGGGCAAACTGCACGTTATTTAAATCATCATGCACTTTAGGTGTTGTTTTTCAATAATTATAACATTTTTATTTACAAAAACAATTAAACAATTAAAGTTCCTAGTACTTTTTTAACGTATGGTACTGCGTAAAACATTTTCCTCTATGAAGAGGGACCAAACAAAATTTACATAAGTATCTAGATTCGCTCCTTTTTCCATGGGCGTGAAAAACGAGAAAACTCATGAGCGGTCCTTAACAGATGGCGCGCGAAACACGAGAAAACTCTTGAGCGGTACGAAAGGTGTTAAGTTAGAACTATTTCCATGTTTGCAAATTAGTTATTGTCTATTCATTCTACAAATTATGTAAGTGATTTCAAACCTCTCAATACATTAGTTTCATTTTTAAACTGTGGAAAATATGAATTTCTTCAAGTTTTTTAAGTATTTAAAAAAAAACATTCAGCCTGCCTGCAGTGGCTCAGTTGGTTGAGCATCATCCTGTGCTGGTTTGATTCCTAGTCAGGGCACACACCTGGGTTGCGAATTCAATCCCTGCTTGGGGTGTGCATGGGAAGGCAACGGATCGATATTTCTCTCTCTCTCTCCCTTCTTCTCTTTAAGCATGTCCTTGGATGAGGATTAAAAAAAGGAAGAAACATCCAATCAGAAAGAACTCTTAAGGGAGGTTTCCCCCCCAAAAATCAAAAGTTATTTAAACATTATGGTAGAAATTCAATCTATTAAGAAAACCAGTTTTTGAAAAACTAATCTTACCTTTAAAGTCAGGACAGAATGTTCACCATCTGATTTTAAAAAGACAAGAGAAAAAATTAAAAGCAGATAAAGACATTTGACCTCTCAGAAGAGTACAATCACAGAAACTCACCTTCTACAGGGGAGCTAAACAAGGCAGGGAGCGGCAGCAGGCGGGGCCAGGTCGCATGGCAAGCTGGTCCCAGAGCGAGGCCGGGAGCCCAGCTCTGAACTGCTCATCCTTGACTATCCTGCTCATTCCTGAGCACCTTCAGTGGCTCACAGGATTGCAGAACCAAGGCCAAATGCCTCAGTGTGACTCTGAGCCCTTTCCATGTAGGGCTCCTCCCCATCTTTTCAACATACCTCACTGCAGTGCTCCCTCCACAGGTTCCACCCTCCACAGCCATTCCCCAAATGGGCTGGGCCTACCCTGCCTGGAAGTAGCATCCAACTTGGTCAGAACAGTAGTTGTTTGTTGAAGCAAACTGCCTCAATGACACACATGAAAACAAATCTTGTCCAGTAACTCATTTTCGACTTATAAATCGAAAATTTAGTCTAGTCTGGGCTAGATCCAGACCCGGTCAGTCCCACCCTTGTCAAGCTCCACCAGGCAGGGGGCACAGCCTCAGGCACCCTGGCCCGGCGCTGGGGCGGGGGGTGCGCCTTGAAGTCCCCTGTCAAGCCCCGCCGGGTGGGGGACACGGCCTGAGATCCCCCTTCACGCCCAGCCGGGCAGGGGGTGTGGCCTGAGATCCTCCGTCAAGCCCTGCCAGGCGGGGGGCGTGCCTTGAGGTCCCCCGTCAAGCCCCACCGGGCGAGGAGCGCAGCCTCAGGTCCCCCAGCCCAGCACCGGGAGGGGGGGTGCAGCCGCAGGTCCCTGCTGATTGCTTGTTAAGGCTGGTTACAGGAACTCGGCCTCCGCTGTGGGTGCAGCCATCGTGTGTTACGGAAACCCCACCTCCACTGTGGGTGCCGCCATCTTTGTGGTGGAGTGATGGTCAATTTGCACATTCCCTCTTTATTATATAGGATACCTGTGATTAATATCCTCCATAAAGAGGTTGACCTTATGACCCAGTTTGCCTGTACCTCTTGTTGTAGTGAAAAGTTGGGTTTTCAACTTTTTAGAAGTTCATTGCTTTTAACTTTCCACAATTAATTTGCAGAGCAGAAATAACTGGCTGAGAAATAAATTAGAAGCAAATATGCAAAAAGAAAAAAATATAGAATTCAGAAAAACAAACAAAAATGCTTAAAGATGCATACAACATTATAAATTTGCTTATTGGTTCATTACAATTACCAACCCTTGAGCAACTAATCAATGAAGAGCTTATTTTTTACCAAAAAGTCATCTTAATCCACTATTTTTAAACAAACTGCCTTTTTAAAAAATGTATTTTTAAACATTTTTCCAATTCAAGTTGACATTCAATATTAACAAACCTGGTTTTGATCACGTGTTTTGGGGCAGCCTGGACTGGGCACCAGATGAAATCCTACCCAGTCCTTCTAGCCTAATGGCCTCTTCTCCCTGCCACTTTCTACAACTGGCAGACAATGATGAATGCTCTCTGGTCTTTGTGCCCACTTCTACAACCAGCCTTAGCACTCAGGCAGTTTACCATCTACACATCCTCCCCTGCAACTAGAATGTGAGGGTAAAGGCTGTGGCTCCATCATTTCTGGCACATAGTAAGCTGAATAAATTTCTGATGAGCAAATGTTTAAACTGATAAAAAAAATTAATTAAAATAATTTACATTTTTAATAACTGTTACAATATTCTTGATTTGGTATCTTCCAATGCTATATCAGATCTACTGCTTTCCTATTTAATGAAATCTTCTATGTGTCCCTTAAATTCTTCACAAAATAAAGTTGGGGGAGGGCAGGGGATTAAATGGGAGGAAAAAAACAGGCTTCTAGTCAAAATGGCAGAGTAGGTAAACGCAGTACTGACATCTCTCGTGACCACTTCAAAATTACAACTAAACTACTGAACAACCATCACTGAGAACTGCCTGAAGTCTAGCTGAACAGAACTCCTATAAGTAAGGAAGCCACAGGGAGACCGGTAGGAGGGGCAGAAATGCAGAATGGTCATGTCCCACACCCATGTGAGGAGGTTAAGAATCAGGAGGGATATCTCAGCTGGGGAGGAGTCCCAGCCCAGGGTTCCAGGGCCAGGAACAGAAGTCCCCATAATACAGCAGAGATTGAGTCTGAGTAAGACGGAAGGCTGCTGGGGTCCCAGGCAGTTCCTCTTAAAGGGCCCACACTCAGACTTACTCAGACTCACTTGCTCTGAACATAGGAACTAAATTGTCTGGCTTTGGGGTGAGGGCTGGAGGGGTAGCTTTCTCCCAGACAGAAGTGCTAGCAGAAGACATGTTCCTTTGCTGAGTCCTCCCCCCATAGAGCTGGCAGCAGGCACATACTTGAGTCTCCATTTACCTGGCTAACACTGTTCACCCTACCTGGGTGATTCCCTGAGATCCTCACCCAACTTTCAGACCCACCCAAGCCGCTTGGCTCGAACTTCAGACTTTGCTAAAATCTCTCAAAGGTTCATAAATCTTAAACAAGCAGCATCTGGCCTCAGCATGCCCTTTACCTCTTGCCAAGCAGCCCAAGCCCAGTACTGGCAGCAGCCAGCCTTGGTTCATAGCTTGGCCTCTCCTGGGCACCTCCAAACCCAACACAAGTGGCAACTATCTGCATGAGCCACATGCTGGGTGGTCCCTGGCATGGCACAAGCAGTGGCTAACTGTGGCCTGCACCTCCAGGGAGGCTCCTGGGCCAATGCACCCAGAGGACAGCTTCAGACCACACGAGAGCATCACCCAATCACCTCCACCAGCAGACTCATCTGGCACTGAGCCCTGCTGAAGCAAGTCCTGCTCCATGTAGTCGGCCCCTACACAAAAGCTCCTCTGCTATAGTCTTGGCCAATCCTCACAGCTGATTGGCCTGGGGGTCAATTCCTCCCATTGACAGAAATCAAGGCTCAACTACTAAACAGGAGGGTGTACATAGCCCATATATGGTGGGGGGGGGGGGTTGCACCTGGAGTGCTCAGCTCGGGTTACTACAGAGGCTGTGCCAGTGGGCCCTACAGGACATGTACTACATTAGGCCACTCTACAAAGCCTGGGACACATAGCAGCTCTACCTACTACAAACACAGGGAGGCAGCCAAAACAAGGAGACAAAGCAACATGTCCCAAATGAAAGAACAGGAGGACAAAACTCCCCCTCCAAAAAAAATTAAACAAAATGAAGACAAGCAATCTACCAGAGATACAAAGTTCAAAATACTGGTGACAGCCAGGCCAGTGTGTCTCAGTGGTTGAGTGTTGACCTATGAACCAGGAAGTCAAGGTTTGATTCCCAGTCAGGGTACATGTCCGGGTTTTGGGCTGGTCCACAGTAAGGGCCATGCAGGAGGCAGCTGATCAATTATTCTCTCTCAACATTGAAGTTTCTCTCTCTCTCTCCCTCTTCCTTCCTCTCTGAAATCAATAAAAATATATTTTAAAAATATATATATTAAAGAATAATGGTTATAAGGATGCTCAAGGAACTTAGAAAAAGATAGATTAACTCAGTGAGAACTTCAACAAAAAGATAAAAACAGAAATGGAGATAAAAAACATAAAAAAGGACAGAAATAAAGAGTACAATAACTGAAATGAAGAAACAGTAAAATGAATCAACAGTAGATTGTGAAGTAGAGGATCAAAGCAGCAATTTGGAAAATAGGTAGCAGAAAACACCCAATCAGAACAGCAAAAAGATAAAAGAATCCAAAAAATGAGGACTGTTTAAGGGGCCTCTGGAACAACATTAAGAGTACCAACAGGCCTAGCTGTTTTGGCTCAGTGGATAGAGCATCGGCCTGCAGACTGAAGGGTACTGGGTTTGATTCTGGTCAAGGGCATATGCCTCGGTTGCAGGCTTGATCCCCAGTAGGGGGTGTGCAGGAGGCAGCCAATCAATGATTCTCTCTCATCATTGATGTTTCTATCTCTCTCTCCCTCTCCCATCCTCTCTGAAATCAATAAAAATATATTTTTTTAAAAAGAGTACCAACCTTCATGGGGGTGCCAAAAAAAGAAGAGAGCAAGAAATTGAAAGCCTATTTAAAAAAATGTCAGAAAACTTCCTAATTTGGTGAAGGAAATAGACACACAAGTCCAGGAAGCATAGAGTCCCAAATAAGATGAACCCAAAGAGGCCCACACCAAGATACATCATAATTAAAATGCCAAAGGTTAAAGACAAAGAGAGAATCTTAAAGGCAGTTATTATCTACAATGGAGCTCCCATAAGACTGTCAGCTGATTTCTCAACAGAAACTTTGCAGGTCAGAAGGGACTGGAACAAAATACAAAAGGCTACCAGTTTGATTCCCAGTTAGGGCACATACTTAGGTTGTGGATTCCATCCTGGGTCAGGATGTGTACAGGAGGCAACCAATCAATATTTCACTCTCACACTGATGTCTCTCTCTCCTCCTTCCTTCCTCTCTAAAGTCAAAGAAAAAAAAAAGTGGATGGACATGTATGAACATAGGGAGATATTCAGGATGTGTCATTAGATTTAAAAAAGGCAGGTAAGAAAATAATGTGTATTTTATATACATACCCAATTGTATGTTAAAAGTAATTATCTAGCCCTAGCTGGTTTGGCTCAGTGGATAGAGTGTTGGCCTGTGGACTAAAGGGTCTCAGGTTCGATTCCAGTCATGGGCACATGCCTGGGTTGTGGGCTTGATCCCCAGTAGGGGGCATGCGGGAGGCAGCCAATCAATGATTCTCTCTCATCAGAAATCAATAAAAAAATTAAAATAATAAAAGTAATTATCTAGCCCTGGCTGGTGGTTAGTGTCGGCCTGCACTGAAGGGTTGTGGGTTTGATTCCCAGTCAAGGGCACATATCTGGGTTGCAGGTTTGATCTCTGGCCCGAGTTGGGGCACTTGTGGGAGGTAACCAATCACTGTGTCTCTCTCACATCACATTGATGTTTCTCTCTTGCTCTCTCTCTCTTTCTACCCCTCTTCCTCCTTTTCACTCTCTCTAAAAAGAAAACAATGGAAAAAATATCCTCGGGTAAGGATCAACAACAAAAAATAAAATTAAATTAATTATCTATGAAGTACAATTATGTGTGTTTAACTTGATATATTTATGCATTTCCATTTTTTTACAGTGCAAAAGTAGTACTTCTATAATTAATAAAGGAATACAGTTTTTACATGACTTTAATATTCACACAGATTTTCCCATAGGGATAAAATATGCCACCTAACCAATTGGTGTTTCTGGCCCAGGTATTACTAGCTGGCATCCTGTTTTCTAACCACCTCTCCTTGAGCCCAAGCAACTCTCAGGAGGGTCCTGATAAAGCAGTTATTGGTGCCCACTGTATGTCAGGCTCTCTTTCTCACTTCTCAAACATAAGCCATCTTTTAGGAAACTGAAAAGAGTTCCCTACCTTTACTATAATACTCTGAATTCTCTCACAGTGCCAGACAAAATATACAGACAATTGGTAACATACAGTTAGAGTTCTATTATAAACAGGTCCGTGCACTCATTCATCCAACAAACTCTTAGAGACGGACTGCTGTGGGCTGGGCCCAGCTCCAGGCACTGGAGATAGCATGGAGACCCCTGGGCTCCAGCCCTTGCAACGCCAGGCCTCGGTCGGGGTGCAGGGGGAAGGAGTGTGTAGAGCTTCAGAGCTTGAGCCGTAGCCCTTTTCCCCAGGTGTCCTCTCAGGGCTGACGGACAGAACTTACGAAATAGACTCCAAAATGAGTACAACCTAATATCCAGGCAACTGACTCTGGAGTAACTTACCTCCAGTGAAAATAAAATTCAGAAATATTCCTACTTGTAATAACAGAATCACAGTATGGAGGTGCAATGGCTATATGTTCCCTCAAGTTAACCAACATTTATTGTCACAAAATGTTTTTACTATTTGAAAAATTGTGGGTGTTTGGGGTTTTTTTTTGTTGTTTTTTTTACCTTTTTCTTGTGTATGCTGTGGTATAAGAGGTGGATCTTGCTCAGAAATATTTTCCTCATCTTCACTGTCCACCGCATGTGACAATGGAACCTTTTGCTACAAGAGACAAAGGAGCAAACATGTGATCAAATTTCCTCCCAGTAAACTCAAATGGCTTATTCCATACTTTCTTCAGTGCCACCTCCCTCTCTGAGAGACAAAAGGACTACACTTGAAAGGGTGGGACAAAACTTCGGATTCCTTAGGGAAAGCCCTGTGGCAAAAGCAATGACATTGGAACTACACTTGGGCCATCCAGAACTTCAAACCCCACCCATGCTGCCTGGGCAGCCTCTCTTCCTCCTTCCTTACAGAGACCAACCCAGAACAAGGGGCTGCATCTGGCCTGCTGTGCGTAGCACCCAATACCATCCTACGCTGGCACTGTTACCGTGTTATCATCTCCACGTGAGACAAGTGCTGTCAACTTGCCCTGTGAGAACCCTCAGTCCGGCAACTGTTTGGGGTTGAGGTCAGTTATGTTCGTGGGCTTTGTGAGTCCCTGTAAATGTTTCCTCATGAAATGGAACCCTCTCCTCCACTGCCTGTGAGCATCTCCTATGCAGAATGTTCACAGCAGCACTATTCCTGAAAGTCCCAAACTGGAAACAACCAAATATCCATCATCAATAAAATGAGTAAGTAATTGGATGGTACAGTTGTACAATGGGATAGTATACAGCAATAGGAATGAACCAATCACTGCATGCACAATAACTGAAGACTCTAAAAAACCCCAAAGAATGCATACTATGTGATTACATTCACAGAATTTTCAGAATAGGCAAAACTAATCTAAGGTTATTTCCTAGGATCTAATCTACTCTTGGAGTTTAGGGCAGTGCTTACCTCTGGGGGAAGTAGTGACCTTCTCTGTCACAAAGAGGGACTTCCGGGGTACTAATAATGTTTTGTATTTTTTAAATCTGGGTGGTGGATACTTTGTAGAAATTCACTGAGCTGTACACTTATGATTTATGTATCTTTTGTGTATATTTAATGCATCAATAAATAAACCAAAGGCCTGAATGGTATAGCTCAGTGGTTGAGCGTTGAACTATGAGCCAGGAGGTCGTGGGTTCGATTCCCAGTCAAGGCACCTGCCCAGGTTGTGGGCTCAATCACCAGTGGGGGATATGCAGGCAATAGCCAATCAATGATTCTCTCTTATCATTGATGGTTCTATCTCTCTCTCTCCCCTCTCACTTCCTCTCAGAAATCAATAAAAATATATTTAAAAGAAAAAGAAATAAATAGACCAGAGAACTGTGATAATATTCAAAACAATATTCTAATTTAAAAGTTTTAATTTAGCCTGGCTGGTGTAGCTCAGTGGTTGAGCATCGACCTATGAACTGGAGGTCACGGTTCGATTTCAGGTTGGGGCACATGCCTGAGTTGTGGGTTCGATCCCCAATGTGGGCATGCAGGAGCGACAGCCCTTGCATCAAAGAGTTGCCAGTTCGATTCCCGGTCAGAGCACATATGGGAGGCAAGCAATCAATGTTTCTTTCTTTTTTTAAAATTTTTTTAAAATTGATTTCAGAGAGGAAGGGAGAAGAGGAAGAGAGAGGTAGAAACATCAATGAGAGCGAATCATTGATCGGCTGTCTCCTGCACGCCTCCTGCTGGGGATCGAGTCCACACCCAGGCATGTGCCCTTGACCAGAATTGAACCTGGGACTCTTCAGTCTGCAGGCCCGACGCTCTATCCACTGAGCCAAACTGGCTAAGGCCAATCGATGTTTCTCACATCAAAGTTTCTCTCTCTCTAAAAAAATTTAAAAAATCAATAAAAACATATCTTCAGGTGAGGATTAAAAACAAAAAATGATACAAACATCAAACTGACCAAAGAAGCTCCTGGGCAGAGGAGGACAGCAATAGCAACAGCAGGGTTTCAAGGTGGACTTTTGTTTTATGTGCAATATCAGAAGTTTTTATAAGAAATGTGCACTCGCATATTACCTTTGTGACAAAAGGAAAACTAAAAAGAAATTTAAACCGTGGGGACAGAGGGGACATTCCTAATCCTCAACAACAACAGGAAAAGAATGCCCTTGGCCTCTAGAAGTTTCTAGAAAGAACTAGTTTACCCTTCCATGAATAGTTCCTCTCTGCATCTCCATCCAAGCTTATGGCAACACTCAAATATGGGTTTGTTGACAGGTGGGTGGGTAAACAAATGCACAAATGAGTGACTATATAGCATTTTATGACAAGATGATCTGCAAATCCACAAACAATAGCAAGAATGCATGACAGAGATCTCCAATAATGTCCTATTGCTAGTTTCTATTTGAAAATGGTAACATGGCATTTAGGTGGTCTCTTCCCTTAAAACTAACTGAAATCAATCAGAAGAATAAAATAAATTAAAAATAAATTTAAAAAGCTTAGTCAATGGCCACAGTCTCAAACCACAAACTGGAGAAAACAGCTTCCAAATCTATGAAAACCTGGAATAGAGGGAGTATACCAAAAGCTGCTAGAATTCAAGCATGTAGATACTCCAAAATTCACAAAGTGTTACAGAGTTCCTCTGATGGGTGCAATGAGAACAAGGGCATGGACAGGCCCAGGAGAAGTAGTCCTTCCCGGGGAGGAGAAATCAAAGGGAGCCACTTGTGGAGAGCCTGCCTTTATTGTCCAGAATCCAGCCTGCATACTCTCACAGAAATTAAAGGCAGCACAGGCTGATATAAAGATCCCAAAGGATATCAAGAAAAGCGATAAAGCATCAGAAAGATATAAGAAGTAAACTGGCAGAAGTCAAAAAAAGAAAAAGAAAAAGGAAAACCAATACAGAAGTAAAAGCTATACTAAAAGTACTAAAACACAGTAACAAAGTGCTAAAAGAGATGCACAGAGTACACTAAAGGAAATCACATAAAGTGACAATGCAAAGAAAAACAAGGGACAGGTGATTATAGAAAATATAATAGACATGGAAACAAAGGGTAGCCAACAAATGCATAGCTAGTGTTCTCAAAGGAGAATAGAATGAATGGATGGTAAAAGTAATCAAAGACAAAACAGGGGAGAGAAATAGTCCCTGAAAATAAAAAAGGAAATGAGAATCTTTGTCTGCTGAATTAAATTATAAACTAAATTTCAGGAAAAATGCCACCATTAATTCTGGAGATGTACTGAACTTCAAAGGATAAAGAATGAACTTACAAAGGTATCAGAAAGAAAGATCAAGTGACTTTAATGTGAAAAAGAAAGCAGGCTTAAGTCCTTCTCAGCCCTTTGCTGTTACCCTCAGCAGTCCTCTCAGAAAAGGCTAATTCCCCCACTATATGGTCTCACAGCACCTGTACCCTTCCTTCGTAACATTTACCATAATTGTAATTGGTTGCTATTAATTAGGTAACTATGGACTCTGCCTTATACTGCTTCTCCAGCACCTGGCACATACCTGGTACTCATTGGATGCTCAATAAATATTTGTTGAGTTATTTACCTGATCAAAGACAGTCTTCTCCACAATACAGTCCTGTAGAGGATGAAGAAACTGAGGCGCAGGGAGGTTATCTGACTTACCCAAGTTATACAACTGGGAAGTAGAGAAACTGGGAGTTGAACTCCGGTCTCTGAATGCCCATGGCATTGCTCTGTCCACTGGGCTCTAGCTGCTAGCATCATGTGAACCGACCACAAATTCAGGCACCCCACTTATTCCTTACTTTTGGGTGGCACCAATAAGAAAACTCCTGGAAACAAGATTTGCTTTGCATTTGTTAGGCCATTTCTGCGCAGGTGCACACATTATATGAAGATGGTTGCCCAAACTACTCTGAAACAGAGAGAGGCATGAGATATAGAGACTTATATCCAAAGTGCCTGCTTGGGTTGGTCTGTTCTTACTTTACTAGTTTTGACAACTCTTTATTTTAAAGGAAGTATGAATGATTCATAAAAAAGGATAAAATTATAATTTACCTCAGATTGCAAAAAGTCCATAGTAAATATAGGGAAGGAAATTTTACTTTTATTATTTAAATTAAAATGTAACCCACAGGCACTATCTTCTTCAGAGCTGGTGTTATCTAGTGATTAAACAGCAGTTTTACATACTCCACACTCCCATTTTTTTTTTCAAAGATAGATATAGATTTTTTTGTTTGTTTGTTAATCCTCACCCAAGGGTATTTTTTCACTGATTTTTAGAAAGAATGGAAGGGAAGGGGAAAGACTGAGAGAGAAACATCAGTGTGAAGGAGAGAGACCTCGACTGGTTGCCTCCTACACAAGCCCCGACCAGGGCCTGGGTCCAAGCCTGCAACCAAGGCACGTGCCTTTGACTGGAATTGAACCCAGTACCCTTCAGTCCTCAGGCTGACTATCAGCTGAGACAAACCAGCTAGGGCCAAAGATATATATTTTAATCATATAATAAACTTAAGAATATTTGGCCTGTTTTTTTAAAAATAACTTTATCTCTAAGAAATATTCTTAATAGGCACAAGGACTATAAACACCAATTTTAATTAATAGGGAAAATTGGTCGCCCTAGTCTGAATCCTGCCTCTGCAACTGGATGGTTGGTTGGCAAGTCATTTATCCTGTTTCTTCACACACTTACCCCCAAGGGTGTGAAGTAAATGAAATGGTACATGTAGCCCGGCTGGTGTTGCTCCGTGGTTAAGCATCAACCCATGCACCAATAGGTCGCTAGTTTGATTCCCGGTCAGGGCATATGTCCAGGTTGTGGGCTCCATCCCAGTAGGGAGCATGCAGGAGGCAGCTGATCAATGATTCTCCCTTTCTCTCTCTCTAAAAATCAATTTAAAAAAGATATTTAAAATGATACATGGAAGCTGCCTAGCATATATTAATGCTAAGAAAAGGTCAATGCGTCTTCCTCCGCTACTGTCTACCAGCCCCCAGGGAAAAAAAAGAAACTAATCGTGAGACTATGGGAAATTGAAATCCCTTTCCAGTTTAAGGACCTTTCATTCATGCCATCTGCCAGGACAATGTAAAGGTTAGCATGAAACCTCTCAATTGCAATCAGCAGGGGGCATCCAGGAGGCAGACAATCAATGATTCCCTCTCATCATTGATGTTTCTATCTCTCTCTCCCTCGCCCTTCCTCTCTGAAATCAATAAAATATGTATTTTAAAAAATGTGATTCAATATAGTTGAGGGTAATCAATATAATATAATCAATATGAATATACTTTGGACCCTCCAGTCTTTATGTGTAGTCACCATGCTAACACATGTTATAATGATGGTGAAAAAAGAGAAAGGAAAAAAGGAATTACAGTGCTGTCTTTTGCCATTAAAGAAATGGCACTGTCCGGTTTTCAAAACCTAGGAGCACAGATTGTAAACCAGAGCAGTCGGGCAGTGGCTCCTTCAACCTCTCAGTACCTCGGTTTTCACCTGTGATGGGTTCAAAAATGGAATCTACCTCACCAAGATACTGGGAGGTAAATACATGTAAGAGCCTGAAATAGAGACTCACAGTAACCACTCAAACAATACCAGCTACTATGGAGATAAATGATGATACTCCTTTTGCCAGGCATGACTTAGAAGAAAGGTTGCAACTATGCATACTGATATTGGAAAAGTGATAGAAAAGTTAGCTTTTGGGGTCTAAGAAAAGAACAGGATTACTCAGCATCAGAAGAAAATCTACACTGAAAATGTTGATGTTTGTCTTTGAAAGGTAAAGGAAAAGTTTTAAATTTTAGCCTAACCAGATAGAAAACGAGACTGGACACATCAAAAAAATAAGCCCCAGAACAAAAGCCATCAAAGGTAGAAGAGCGAAAAGAAAGTCCTTACACATACACAATTTACTATAAGTTAATGTCGAGGTGCAGTGGAAATTCTGGAATGTGACAAATACCTGACTTCTGTGTGGCGTGGTATACACAGCATCGCCAATTCTTCCCTCTTCCTTATGAGCACTGACTTCCGAGGACTCCTTGTTGCTAGATGACAGGTGCGAGTCAGTGTCCTCTTCGTCCCCATAGCCCAGCATTTCAAAGGATGGCAAAGAACTTCTTCCTGTCTCACTCTGCCAATTTGGTCTGTTTTACAACATTAAAGCAGCCACTTACTTCACACTGGTACATGTACGTGTATTAAATGCACTGCTTCTGAGCCCCCACCATAAAACTACTTTTACAAAATACATAGACTCTAAAGGATTAAGTCATCCCCTATCCCATCTCTCTACACACTTTTTATAAAATATGTTTTTATTGATTTTTAGAGAGAGGAAGGGAGAGAAAGAGATCGAAACATTGATGAGGGAGAAACATCATCATTGATTGGCTGCCTCTTGAACACCCCCTGCTTGGGATCAAGCCTGCAACCTGGGCATGGACCCTGACTGGGAATCCAACAGGTGACCATGGGTGCATGGGTCAACGCTCAACCACTGAGCCACACCAGCAGGCTCTCTGCACACTCTTAAAATTTCTTTCTAGTTTTTTACCTAGATTCTTATACTTATCACTGCATACAATACAATCTGCTTCACTGTTAACAAGTTTTTAAAGTCAAAATGTTATAAGGTAAAGACTCAAGTAGTTACACCAGTTTAGTCAGCCATTTCCCTTACCTGGTTTCTCCCTCCCAATTTTACCTGCTATAAATAACCCTGTAATGGACATCTCTTCTGTTTTTAGGATTAATCCTATAAAACAAACCAGATGGCAAACTGCTGAGTCCATGGTATAAACATTTTGTGGGTCTACATGCATACCACACAAGATTATTTCACAAGTCATTTCTCTAACCTGTGACTACGTTGGTAATAATATTCTAAAACTTGCCAAAAGAAATTAAATCTCACAATATAAATTTGCATCTTACCGAGACTAGATATTTTTCCATATATCTGTGTGCAAGTCTTAATTCCTCTGTTCATGAACTGTCTGTTCGTGTCCTTTCTCCATTTATCTATTTTGCTTCTAATATGTCCATTCTAATTTGAAATTAACTTTCTTTTCTTCTAAAATTAAAAGCCTGACTTTGTATTTACTACAAATATTTTTCCTATTCTATTAATTTTTTTTAACATACAGATGATTTTTTAAAACTTTCTTTTAAATAGCAGTTTTGATAAGATTGGATATAAGATTTAATAGTCTTATAAAAATCAATGGAAAAAATATCCTTGAGTGAGGATTAACAAAAAAAATATATAATGGGGCTAATGCAGCCTACCCCCAGGGTCAATATTCTTCCTTTCCAAATTTCTTCTGATGGTCTTAGCTGCTTATTTTTTCCAATACATTTTAGAATCTTTTCCTTATATTTAGCTCTTATTCAGCCAAAGTATAATTGCTACCAGGAGAAAAAGAGACTATATTCAAATATCTAAACATGGAGTCAAGATTAAAATGTAAAAACCAAAAATATAAACATGTCCTAGGAGGAAATACATGAGCATATATATAATGCTATATATAATAGGGAAGTTCTTTCTAGATTGGACAATAATGACAGAAAATACAAAGAAAAGGCTGATACATCTTACTACATGAAACATACAGAAATTTGGCATATAAAAATATAAACAAAAATGAAATTGAATAAGCATGACAGATAAAAGGCAAATCTGGTCATGTATCCCCCACTGCCATCCCACAAGCCCTTAAAACCCTCAGTGCTTCCTGCTTCTAGGGGAGATACCAAACCTCAGAACAGAACACTGAGCCCCTGCCCACTCCTTCAGGCCCATTGCAGATGACGCCCCACCTCACTCAAGTTCTCCCAGCCACAAACATCTTCCTTCTGTTGCTCACATGTGTCATGCTCCCTCTTTCTCTGTCTAGGAAGCTCATCCCAGCCCCACACTGACCATCCCCCCAACCCTGAAGCCATTCCCACTTGATTCTTTTATATTCCTCTGTGCTCTCCTCAACACTCTCTTTGGCAGGAAGAAACCTTCCTGACCCCCTAGGCCAGTGGTCAGCAAACTGCGGCTCGCGAGCCACATGCGGCTCTTTGGCCCCTTGAGTGTGGCTCTTCCACAAAATACCGACTTCTGCACATGGGCCACGAAGTTTTAATCGCACTGTTCGTGCACGCCTGCACATGGTATTTTGTGGAAGAGCCACACTCAAGGGGCCAAAGAGCCGCATATGGCTCTCGAGCTGCAGTTTGCCGACCACTGAACTAGGCCTATGTTAGCATTAACCCAGCTCAAGCAATGGAGGAAATGACATTAAAGAAGAAGAAAAGTTATAGTATAGATGCCAACAAAGGTCAAATCAGTATGAGTGTTCAGAGGGGAGATACCTGAGAAGCAGTGAGTGACAACTCTCACCATCTAGGTTGAGGCACGGAGAATCCTACTAAGGTCTAAAAGCAGCACTAAATTCACTGGCTCTGTGTTGCCATGAAAACCACCAGTGCATTCACAAGCCATAATTTAACAAGCTCCACTCTAAGAAAACTCTGATGCAACTCAAGAACAATTAATGCCCCAGAACAGTGTTCCTTTGACATTGGGGATGAAAACCTCACTAATGCCCGGCCGGTGTGGCTCAGTGGTTGAAAACTGACCTATGAACCAGGAGGTCACAGCTCAATTCTGGGTCAGGGCATATGCCTAAGTTGCGGGCTCGGTCGTCAGTAGGGGGCGGTGCAGGAGGCAGCCAATCAATGATTCTCTCTCATCATTGATGTTTTTATCTCTCTCTTCCCCTTCCTGTCTCTGAAATCAATAAAAATATATTTTAAAAAAGAACAAAACAAAAAACATCACTACTAAGCTCTAATCATAATCACACACACACACACACACATACACACACCACACACACACACACACACACACACACACGCTCCTCCTCTGCTCCTAGAGCAGTGGTTCTCAACCTTCCTAATGCCGCGACCCTTTAATACAGTTCCTCATGTTGTGGTGACCCCCCAATTTCATTGTTACAAACTGAACATAATTAAAGCATAGTGATTAATCACAAAAACAATATGTAATTATATATGTGTTTCTGATGGTCTTAGGCGACCCCTGTGAAAGGGTCGTTCGACCCCCAAAGGGGTCGCGACCCACAGGTTGAGAACCGCTGTCCTAGAGGAAGCAGAATCAGAGATATGGTCCTTACTGATGCCTCAGCTCTGAGGTGGTGGCATAGGGCGTGATGAAACTGTCATTTTCAAGGTGGGTCATGTCACTCTCAGACTGGGATATCCGTTGTGGCTGAGGAAGGGCAATAGTCCGGCCAGTCAATGTTGTTGCTAGAATGACTGCAGCCAGAGCAGACCTATGGACAAAAGCATCCCAGTGAGATGGTGAACAAAAGGTTAAAAACAGGATACATAAATTAATCAAAACATACCATCTATTCTACAATGTTTAGTGCATACCTACTGACCACAGGCCTGCAGTCTGTTATGTGCCATCAAACAATCTTAATTCATTCTCACATCAACTATATGAAGAGATATTATTGTCACCTCCATTTTTCATGTAAATTAAATGACTTGTCCAAGATTTCTAAGCTAATAGGAGATGAAACTAGATCTCTAATCCAGGGAGTCTATATTCAAATAGTTTTTATATTAAAATAAAAGATCAGGATGGGAAAAAATGAAGTACAAAAAGATATAAATTATTCAAAACCATAATATAGGAAAGATAGAATAATAGGTTTACCCTCCCACCTGAAAAAGTAAAACAAAACAACAGACTTAACAAATGGCCCAGCTTACTGCCAGAGAGACTTCCCAGGTCTCAGCAAAGGAAGGAGAACCTGAGGTGGGGCCAGGCAGACTCCCTGAGTTGTGTAGATGGAGCTGAGAGTCTGCGAACACCACGGCAGATAGAATTTGAAGGACAGGGTACCAGAAAGAAGAGAGCTGAACAGAGAAAACTCCGGAAATCTGAAGAAGGTCCCCTCTGAGGTTTAGCAAAATGCTCCTCAGTGCATGCATGCGAGGAAATTACCCAAGACTGGGGGAAGAACCATTCATAAGGATTAGAGCAGTGGTTCTCAACCTTCCTAATGCTGCAACACTTTAATACAGTTCCTCATGTTGTGGTGACCCTCAATTTCATTGTTACAAATTGAACATAATTAAAGCATAGTGATTAATCACAAAAACAATATGTAATTATATATGTGTTTTCCGATGGTCTTAGGCGACCCCTGTGAAAGGGTCGCGACCCACAGGTTGAGAACCACTGGATTAGAGGAACAGTGCCAGATGCTTACATATGGTTGAGGTCAGTGTCTGTTCCCAACAGTCAGACAGAAAAAATTATAATTCAAGGAATGTTGGGAACAATACTCCAAAAGGACTCCAAAAGGTCTTGCCTCAGTAGTGGGGAATAATTAGTCCTAGGTTGAACACTGGTCTAGACCTCACCTATCAAATCATAAAAGCACAACCCAAAAGAGCAAACTGGTTCAAGGTAACTTAATTGTATCCCAGTACAATATTCAAGAAGACTTATCTATAATAATAAAAGTGTAATATGCTAATTAGACTGGACAGCTGAACAACCTTCTGGACGTCCTTCCAGATGAAGCTGTGGCGGGGGCCAAGGCAGAGGCGGTTAGGGGCGAGTATTTCCTATTCGAAACTTGTCTGTCAATGCATTTATAAAGGTAAATTATAAACATATGGAAACTCCTAAAAACTCTTTAAAAGTCATTTATTTCCATCTTGATGGCATCCAAGTTGAATAACAGGTCCATGATTCTTTTCTAATATAAACAATTTTAAAGATTTGGACTTAGATAAAAACGAAATTATTGATTTTACGGCAAAAACAAACCTTGAAGAATTCTGGTGGTTCTTGAGAAATATCTATACTTGTCATGTAATGGTGTTTATGGAAACTATAATTCCAACTGCAAAACTTTTATCCTTGCAATACTTTTATCTTTTTTAAACACTTGTAACAAAATAAAACAAAACAAAAAATGCAAACAGTTGTTCATTTAACATGATATGCATATCTCATGGTCCAAGTCTATTGTATAGTTTATATTCTCATTCTGGCTAAGAAAGAAAAGCCTTTGGACCAGTGGTTCTCAACCTGTGGGTTGCGACCCCTTTGGTGGTCGAATGACCCTTTCACAGGGGTTGCCTAAGACCATCCTGCATATTAGATATTTACATTACGATTCATAACAGTAGCAACATTACAGTTATGAAGTAGCAACGAAAATAATTTTATGGTTGGGTCCCAACATGAGGAACTGTATTTAAAGGGCCAGAAGGTTGAGAACCACTGCCCAAGGGGTTCCGGATTGCAAGAGAGTGCAGGCCGGGCTGAGGGACTCCTCCCCATTCCCATGCACGAATTTTGTGCACTGGGCCTCTAATCCTATATAATAATCCTATATAATAAAAGGGTAATATGCAAATGGACCAAACAGAGGAACGACCTGTCACTATGACGCACACTGACCACCAGGGGGCAGACGCTCAACACAGGAGCTGCCCCCTGGTGGTCAGTGTGCTCCCGTAAGGGGAGTGCTGCTCAGCCAGAAGCCAGGCTGAGGGCTGGTGAGCACAGCAGCGGTGGCAGGAGCCTCTCCCGCCTCCGTGGCAGCGCTAAGGATGTCCAACTGTCGGCTTAAGCCTGCTCCCTGCAGGCCTAAGCCATCAGTCGGACATCCCCCAAGGGGTCCTGGACTGCGAAAGGGCACAGGCCGGGCTGAGGGACCCCCGCTTCCCTCAGTGCACAAATGTCATGCACTGGGCCTCTAGTAGGTATATAAAAATATCTAGTACTCAACAACATAAAACTCACAATAATGTCTAGTATATAATCAAAGATAACCAGACATGCAAAGAGACAGAAAAACATAATAAAAAGAATAACCAAGCAAGATCCAGTAAGAACTAAACACATATGTTAGAATTAGCAGAGAAGGTCATTAAGACAGTTATCACTGTACTCCACATGTTCAAAAGGTAAGTAGAGACATGGAATTTATAAAAAGGGCTTGAACTTCAGTGGATGAAAATTACACTGGATAGGGATTGCAGAAAAGACTCGTGAAACTGAAGGCAAGACGATAAAAAATAACCAAAATGAATGCAGAGAGGAAAAAATAATTTTAAAAAAAGAACATAGTGAGATATGAGATGAAAACTGCTATTGTTTTATGTTTTAAGCCACTAAGTTTTGGTGTAATTTGTTACATGGCAATAAGTAACTAATATAATAGTCTTCAACCTGTGCTGGAACAAATAGTTACCCATATGTGAAAAAAGGAACTTGAATCCATACCTCTCTCCACATAAAAATTAACTCAAAATGGATATTAGACCTAAATGTAAATTCTAAAACTATAAAACTTCTGTAAGAAAATCTGTGTGACCTTAGACAAAGATTTCTGAGATATTATGTTGAAATCATAATCTGTAAAAGAAGAAACTGACAAGTTGAACTTCATAACAATTAAGATCTGCTCCTTGAAAGATACTGTTAAGAGAATAAAAAGATAAGCCACAGATGGGAAAAAAAATATTTACAAAGTACATATTTGATAAATAACTTGTATCCAGAATTAAGGAATTCTCAAAATATAGTAACAGGAACACAAGCAATTCAGTTTTTAAAAGTGTTCAAAAGATTTGAACAGACACTTTACCAAAGAAGATACACAAATGGCAAATAAGCACTTGCTCTATATCATTAGTTATTAGAGAAATGCAAAATAAAACCACAACGAGGTACCACTACACACCTATTAGAATGTCCAAAATTAAAAAGATTGGCCAAGACAGGGAGCATCTGAGATATTTCTCCCCGGCACATGTTCCCCTCAGGTATTCAAAGAGATCCAGAAATTTGCCAGAAAGGAGATAGGAACTCCAGATGTGCACATGGACTCTAGATTCTACAAAGCTGTCTGGGCCAAAGGAATAAGGACTGTTCTATACCTTATCAGTACATGGCTGCCCAGATGCATAATGAATATGAAGATTCACCAAACAAGCTGTATATACTGTTTTCTATGCACCTGCTACCACTTTAAAAAATTATACAGACAGTAGATGTGAATGAGAACTAATGGCTAATGTCAAATAAAGTTATAAAACCAAACATCATTGGGATGTGTAAGACTGCAGGAAAGGCGGCTTACCTACCATATTCCCACCTCCTCCTGCCAGATACACACACACACACACACACACACACACACACACACACACAAGACTGACCAAACCAAATATTGCTTAGGATGTGAAGAAACTGGAACTCATACACTGCTGGTGGGAACAAAAACGAAATCACAACTTTGGGAAATAGTTTGGCAATTTCTTAGTAAGTTAAATATACATCTAGTACATGAAGCAGGTATTTCATTCCTAGATATTTACCCAGGAGAAATGAAAACATATGTCCAAACAAGGATTTGTACACAAATGTTCATAGCAGCTTTATTTCTAGTAACCCCAAACTGGAAACAACCTAAATTTCCATCAATAGGTGAGTAGATAAGTAAACTGTGGCATATTCACGTAATGGAATATTTACTACTCAGCAATATAAAAGACAAATTAACTCATTTCCACAACTATATGGATGAATGTCAAAATAATTATACTGAATGAAAGAGGACAGCTTAATTATGTTGTGTAATTCTGTTTATATAAAATTCTAGAAAATGCAGACTAGCCCTACCTGGTTTGGCTCAGTGGATAGAGCGTCAGCCTATCTACTGAAGGGTCCTGGGTTTGATTCCGGTCAAGGGCACATGCCGGGTTGCAAGCTCGATCTCCAGTAGGGAGCATGCAGGAGGTAGCCGATCAATGATTCTCTCTCATCATTAGTATTTCTATCTCTCTCTCCCTCTCCCTTTCTCTCTGAAATCAATAAAAATTAAAAAATAAAATAAAAAAGAGACAGAAGAAACAGTAAATCTGAAATTAAAAAAAAAAGAAAAGAAAAAGAAAAGGGCCCTGGCCAGTTTGGCTCAGTGGATAGAGCGCCGGCCTGCAGACTGAGGGGTTCCAAATTCGATTCCGGTCAAGGGCATGTACCTCGGTTGTGGGCACATCCCCAGTGGGGGGGGGGGTGCAGGAGGCAGCTGATCGATGTTTCTAACTCTCTACCCCTTTCAGTCCGCAGGACGACGCTCTATCCACTGAGCCAAACCGGTAAGGGCAATAAAATATTTTTTTTTTTAAAAAAAGAAAGAAAATGCAGACTAATCTATAGTGACAGAAAGCAAATCAATGGTTGCCTGGGAATGGGGATGAGGATGGGCTGGTGAGGAGAATGGGAGGTAAAAGAGAGGGGCAATAAACTGTGGGGAATAATGGATATTTATTATCTTGATTATGGTGATGGTTTCACAGGTGTAAACCTATGTCAAAAATTTACCCATTATAATTTTTCAATATGGCCCGGCCAGTGCAGGTCAGTGGTTGAGCATTGGCCTATGAACCAGGAGGTCACAGTTCAATTCCCAGTCAGGACACATGCCCGGGTTGTGGGCTCGATCTGTTTTTATCTCTCTCGCCCTCTCCCTTCCTCTCGGAAATAAATAAAATATTTTTTTAAAATATGAAGTTGATCATAGCCCATTATACCTAAAAAAACACACCCTGTTTTTTTTGTTGTTTTTTTTTAAAATATACTTTATTGATTTTTTACAGAGAGGAAGGGAGAAGGATAGGGAGTTAGAATCATCAGTGAGAGAGAAACATTGATCAGCTGCCTCCTGCACACCTCCTACTGGGGATGTGCCCGCAATCAAGGTACATGCCCTTGACTGGAATCGAACCTGGGACCCTTCAGTCCGCAGGCCAACGCTCTATCCACTGAGCCAAACCGGTTAGGGCCACACCCTGTTTTTAAAAAGATAAACAACTGTCTAAAGCAAAAATAGTAATATATTATGCAGTTTATAATAGATAAAATGTATGACAACAGTTACACAATGGATGGGAAGGAGGCAATCAAAGTAAATAGCAAGACTCTTACACTATTATACTACACATGAAATTGAATAATATCAAAGATTAATTTAAATGTTATTTTTTAAAAATAAAAAGATCTAGAAGTATGCTAAGTTTGCTAAAGCCATGTTGTTTATTTGGGGTTTATAAAGATTACAATCTGGGAAGATATTTCTGTAAATCACAGAGACTATAGAAGTTTTCTAATGAGTCTATAGCATGCTTGGCAGGATATGACCTGTTCTTTTGCTTTTCTGCTTTATAATGGGATGTAAAGCTAACCTTCTCATTATTGCTGCTGCTATCTAAACATTTAAGTTCTAATAACACTACTTAATGGAGCTGGACAGACCTTCAAGTGCATCGCAGCGATGCCACTGCTTGCCAGCTGTGAGACTTCAGGCAAATGCTGAACACTTGAGCTCAGACAGATGCCAACAAGACCTCTCTCATAGGGCCATGAGAGGATGAAATGAAATAATACTTCTAGAGCACTTACTAGATTCCTTGACACAGAGTAAGTACTAATAAATGGCTATTCTTATTATCAAGATTATACTAAAGGAGAAAACAAACACTAAAAATATTTGTGTTTTTTAATCAGGAGGCAAACAATATTCTAGTTTTAAAGAATACTAGAAGAAGGAATCACCCTGGAATGAAATTTGTTCTCAGTGTTAATAATCAAGTCATGCATCCAGGTACCTACTGGATAAAAAATAGTCTAAAATTCTCCTATATTTACAATCTTGGAGAGCACAGGCAGGGGCCTTAGCCTCGATGATGTATAAAACAAAGTCATCTAACTGATGTGTTAGGAGCACTGGAGGACGTGGGAAATCCCAGGCCCTGGGAAGTGAACCCGTTTCTCATTTCCTCCCACAAAGCAGTTCTTTTGAAAGGCCGACTTATGTTTAAAGAGAAAATTATGTCCACAATTAAAATTCCTTTTAACATACCATCAACCGAAATACTTGGGCTTTAATATTTTGAAAAATACTAACTGCATTCAGTTACAAAATGTAAGGAGTCCACATCTGAAAGAGATAGGCCATTATCCCACAGAGAAATCATATTAAATTATGGAACCATGATAAATATTTCAAAGGACATGATTCTAATCACCCTACTTGTAATCTTGCCAGTTGGAACAGTTCTAGGACCCACCACTTGGCGGCTGAGCACAAGGGTGACCTCAGTGCCTGCTCACCTGAGACTCACCTCGATCTCTCTGGAGAGGGGTTGGGGCTGCGGGGAGGAGGTGTGCGGGGCACAGCTGGCTTCGGTGCAATGCTGGCTGCAGGTAGAAGGCCATGGATGATATGTTTCTGCACAAACAAAACCCAGAACAGGTCACTGGTGTAAAGAATCACCTGGGTCCTGCCACCACCCCTCCCTAGGCCTGAGAAGGGACACTGGCAGTTCAGGGATCTAGCCCCACCAGGAGGCCCACTCCTCCCCTTGCTCATCTGGCCAGGCAAGCATGCCCACCCAGGGAGCACCATTACAGCTGCCTATAGTGGGGCCTTCTCACCTTTCCTCCTCAGAGCAGCTTTCCTGACCCCCAGGGGAGCCCCGAAGCACCTCCACTTGTCTTATAGCACTGCCTCCGGTGACCCTAGGGCCCGTGGTCGGCAAACTGCGGCTCGCGAGCCACATGCGGCTCTTTGGCCCCTTGAGTGTGGCTCTTCCTAAGCCTTAGGAGTACCCTAATTAAGTTAATAACAATGTACCTACCTATATAGTTTAAGTTTAAAAAATTTGGCTCTCAAAAGAAATTTCAATCGTTGTACTGTTGATATTTGGCTCTGTTGACTAATGAGTTTGCCGACCACTGCCTAGGCCCTCACTTGCCAACCCCCTACAGAACAGAAGCTTCCTGGGAGCAGGCAACTGTCTTGTCTTTATCAACCCTGAACTCTAGCACTTAGCACTTTGTTCTACACCTGTAGATTTTAGGTAGTTTTGATGATGCAGAATAACAAAAACTAGTTCATACACACACTGAAAGCAGGGGAATCTGCTTTAGGCAACTGGGAGTCTCTCAGAAGTTTCTGAGAATAGCCCAATCATATTCTGTGCACCAGCCATTCATTCACACCTACTAGAAGCAAAACACCATGACAGCAATTCATAAACCTTGTCGACATCCTCAAGGAGGGAGAGTACAGAGGAAAACATGCAAAAACTTATCACACAACAGGGAATTATGGAATGTGCCAGGGGAAAGATAAGAAAAAGTGCTGAGGTGACCCAGGGAGGGAAGGGGGCCTCTTGGAGAAAACCACAGAGAAATTTAGACTAGATCTTCAAAGATGGCCACTGCTCTCACATTTGGGAAATACGAAGAAAAGCATTCTTGGAAGAGGGAAGAGCATGAACAAAGGAATGAAGCAAGACATTTGTGGCAGTGCTCTGGAAATAACAAGTCTCCAGTTTGCGGGATTATAGCAATATAGAGGCATCTGAGAGGGAGAGGCTAGAACAATGGGTTGGGAATAAGCATGGGGATTGTTTCCATTGAAGAGTTTTGAAACAAGACTAAGGCGATCCTGTGGCCTAGTGAGGAGCACCCACTGAAAATGGCCCTGGAAAGATTAATGAAGCAGTGGTAGGCATAAGGTATGGGAGAGAAGAGAGGTACAACCAAGGGGAACAGCCAGGGTTGGGGGCATCCTTCAGGAGGGATGGACAGACCTCCCAAATGTCTCCTGCAGCACCCCCCTAACCTCCAGTTTCACTTGCATGCCAACCCCAAGAACAGGCATTCCAGAGCAGTGTCTGCTGTATTCCTCTATTCTCTGTTTACCTCACTGTGGAGCACCTACCATCCCGTACTGGTCAAACAATTTGACAGTTTAATATCTGCCTCCTCCCCCATTCCCCATCCTCCTCCCCACCCCAAGGAGATGCTCAAGGAGGAAAAAAAAAAAAAAAAAAGGTTTTCTTCACCTTTGAATCCCTAGGGGCTCACATCCAGTATATCCTCCAAAAAGGCCTTCAACTCTAGAGACATTGCATGAGCTTTGCTTTTTTTTTTTTTTTAAATAGAGTGAACTTCCCATAATATGCTAAACATTTCTCACTGTACCACTATAATCATTTCCAGCTGTGGTCCTCCTACCTCAGCCTCTAAAACACAGGATGAACCCATCTCAACCCAGCAGGAAAACCCTCATGGGCAGCCCCCCTCTCTTGATGACAGGTAAAGGGTCTAGTGTGGCTGCTAAGCTGCTATCTGTTGGTTCCTACCAATGAACACCAATGAACCCAGATTCATTTCTTGCTACCCCTCCTCTTCTCTACACATATTCTCTATGATGAATTACTTAAGGGTTTGTCTATCCTTTGTACAGTGTGGCCATAGGCCGTCAATTAATTGTGGGTATCTGACACAGAGCAGGAACTCAATAATGCCACGCTGAGTAAGCAAAATTGCAATGCAAAAATATGCCTCAAGTACGTCCTCCCTGCTTCTCAGCCTGTCTGAAATGCTCGCTGCAGGTGTGGGGGCTGGGAACAGGTAGCCAAGTCAGACATGCTTGCTAGCCTCGATTTAAAACAGAGTTCAGGAATGCCCTTACCAAAATGCTTAAAGTATTACGTTTATGGAGAACTGGATATAAGTAGGTTTGGAGTTTCGCCAGGCAAGTGGCGAAAGAGACAGCAGCACGGGAGTTGGGGGTGTATACAGGAGTGATTATAATGATAGACTATGGAATTAGAAACTAGGGCTGGAAATGAGGACAGTGAGAACACTGGTAAGATCAATAGATTGGTTGTGCGGGATGGGGGTGGGAGGTTTGTGTTAACGGATTGTTGGAGTCAGGTTACTAGTCAGGTAAGTAGCAAAAAAGGGCAAAGAAAGAGCGAGGAGCTGCTGCATCAGTTCAGGTAGATGCTGTTGGACAGGCCGGGGCGGGAACAGCTGCCGGATGTATTTGGTGGGTAGAATCTAAAGAACTTCTGACAGGGTGTCCGTGGTGGGTGGCGGGGAGGAATCAGGAATGACTCCCCATGGGGGACACCCAGCAGTGGAGCAGGTCTGTGGCGGGCAGGAGTGAGCTCCCCGACACCTGAGAGAACGACGTGGGGAGCCTGGGCGATTCCTGTCCGACTGGGGCTCACCTGGGATAAAGGATTCTTTAGAGCACAAAAGACCAGGGCTTTTCGAATGGAAAACCACTTCCCCATGCGCCGCTACCTGGCCTCAATCTCAAGCCAAATCCCAAGCCCTCCTCCTTTAACTCCTGGCCCCCAGGCCAGGGCGGAGGCCGCGCAAGAAGTTACTTACAAACTGGCTCTTGCGGCCTCTCGGAACCCCCAGGAGCATCTTTGCTGTGGGGAATGGTCCCAGCGGGTCTGGACCGACAAGCAAGTCTCTTCAAAGACCAGGACCGCTCCCTAAAGCCTGGTCCCCGCCCGCTGGCCTGGCCCCGGACGCTTTTTCTACTCAGAAGACTCCGCAACAACCACGTCTGCTACTGGCTCTGCTCTCTCACCGGCCAATTAGAGCCAAGGATACTTCATACCCGTCGCTCTTGGCAACCAGCGGGTCCCATTCAAATTCCCTCCGGGGCGGAAACTGTGCTGCTGTCCGTTCTCTTATTGGTCAGAGGGGATGTCGATCTCTGACGCCATAGCCTATCTCATGCCCTGCGAGGCGGAGGGCGGGCAAGACAGAGGACGCGACTGTGGAGCCAGGGCGCGGACGGAGCTGGGGTGTGAGGAGTCAGGCAGGTGACGAAAATGAGCGACTGGGCTTCCAGGACAGGAATCTCCCGTTTCTTAGGCTTTGGCAAATAATTAGAGAACACTGACGACCGGCTCCTGCCACGAGGCCCCACCCCGGCTTCGAGTGGAACGTGGGGCCGTGTGCAGGACAGCCTTGCACTTCAGTCTTGCATTTCCCTCTTTAGGTCGAGGCCGCATGGATAGGAACCCCCCTGAAGGCACAGGCCCTGTGCACGTGCCTTTGGGGCACGTTGTTGCCAATGAGAAATGGCGTGGGTCGCAGCTGGCACAGGGCATGCAAGGTCGGTGGGCTGCCCTCTGCATAAACCCTCTCAGTCCTCACCCCACTTTTAAAAAACGTTCAACCAACTGCTATCTTTTTCATTCAAACTTATTTTCTTGTCTGCATTTTAAGGGAAAGTTAAACTTGTTTTTGAGGATGGCCTAGCACCGGTAGATTTTTACTTATCGGTCAGATCCTGCATTCTTTATGTCACAGAAGCCGATTTGGTGGCAGGAAATAGCTACCGAAAGAGGCTGGTTCGCGTTAGAAATGTAAGTACTGAATTGAAGAAACTGACATTGAAAATGAATTTCTAGTCCTCCTCCCTCTTGTGTATGGAATAATTTATATAAAATCATTGGCCATTCCAAGCACTTTTGGAGGGATAGCTTTCTTAAGCTTGAAAGGAATTTTGTTACAAAATGGTTTACTGTTGTTTTTACTTTTCTTTGAAGTCCAGTAATCTTCAAGGAATTGCAATAGTTGAAAAAACGCCGACGAGTGAACAGTACTTCCCAGCCATACAGAAGTTTACTGTGCTGGACCTTGGGATGGTGTTGCTCCCAGTGGCCAGCCAGATGGAAGCGTCCTGCATCATCATCCAGTTAGTAAGTACTGATTCCCACTACGCCATCAGAGCCCTGTCTTGAGGATTTCAACTGACCTTAATGGATCTTTTAGCAGCTGCCCTTGTTTGTTATGGTTCTGAGTCCATCAATGCAATCTAATCATTCTGTGTAGCTTTATAAAGCCTTTTTGAGGAATTTAAGTCCAGAAGCTGCCCCTGCAACCAGCTGAGCTTGATACCTATTTTAGGCAACTGTGTAACAAGTGAACAAGTTGGAGACCTGATTTGAGACTCCCAGGCTGTGATGACTCCATCGTTTATTCTGCATTGACGCTGGGGAAAAGGTCCTCTAGCAGCGGCTCTGCCTCATCCCCACGTATCTTTTAAGCATTAGCATTCAGTGTGCAAGTTTATGTTGTTGTTTTTAAACCTCGTTGAAGATTATTCAACTTGATTGTATGTCAGAATTTTGTGGGGAAACTTTTCAAAACAGTAATACATGGGCCTTACCTCAGACCAATTAAAAATCAGAATGTGGGAGTAGGGCTTAAGCATCAGTCTGTCTTATTATGTTGTTGATGTTAAATCTTCCCCTCTGATGTGCAGCTACTATTGAGAACCAAATTGTTCACAGATCCCTCCATGCTCTCTGCCACATTTTTTGTTTTACTGTTCCTAACTTTCCTTGCTGGAGTGCTATTGTCTGCCTTTCTGTATCCATAACTAACTGAAGACTGGGTTTCTCCTTTGATAGGCAGGTCCAATTTAGAGATAGTCATCACTTAATCTCATACAACTGAAACATTTCTTCGTGGATCATAGGAACAAGTTTGAATTCCTCAGAGTATGTTTTCATTGGTTTTATCCTAACCATTCTGGAAACCCAAGTTCTTATTTTTAAAAATTTTATCTTTTACTCCTTTGTGTAGTCATATGGTTCACCTTTCAATAATTTTGCTGATGAAAATTTGTATTCATGATATATGAAAACATTTGTAGTGAGAAGTTGAACCAAATAGAAAAACTAAAACAACTGTTAGTCCTCTAGAGGGTGCTCACAGGCTCTTTAATTTCGGTTTAGGTTCAAGAGCAAACCAAAGAGCCCAGTAAGAACCCTTTTCTCAGGAAGAAACAGGCTCAGCTCTCTGAGCCATTCTTACTTCGAACTGTGCAGCAGATCCCAGGAGTTGGGAAAATTAAAGCTTCCCTTCTGCTTCAGAAGTTCCCGAGTATCCAGCAACTGAGTAATGCTTCCATCCAAGAACTGGAGCAGGTCGTTGGGCAAGCAGCAGCACAACAAATTCATGTGTTCTTCACACAGTCCAGGTGACAGCTCTTCTCACAGCATCCACTACGGGTTCTACTTTACACCACCAACTACAGGATCTTGTTTTCTTTTCATGTTTAAAAATCAAGAAAAAAATATTTCCTCTCACAGCAACTAGTGACAGATGAGGTGAGGCCTGAGTGGAACCTGCCAGCTGCCCTGTGCTGCTGTGTGCTGTCACTTAAGTCGGTGCTGCCCTGGTTCTGCTACCATGAAGAGGGCCAGTGGCGATCTTCCAAAGAGCGTCCCTTGAATTAGAGACTCTCAGATTGATAAAAAAGCCAACTTGGGGAGATTTGAATGTGTGACCTTGACCTACATCTGTAATGGAAAGGTCTTATCAGGTTTCAGTGTTTATAACCTTCTAAAGGAGACAAACCTACAATGAAGCACTGTGTACCATAAGCCCCTTGTTCCTGGTGGCAAAACCACTGTTCTTGAGGTCTGGTCTTAATATACCTGTGCTTCGAGGGTTGCTGCCAGTGTAAATAAGTTGTACAGCCTTTGTGTTTCCTCCCTCAATCGCTTCCTTTATGGTGGCTGCACAGTTTGTTTATCATCACTGGGCACATCTGAACACAGAAAGCCTGGAGTGGAGAGTACCCACTTCCCTAATGTGTGTGGGGAGAGCGGGAGGGGGGAATGTGTTTGTAAATGTATAGCCCAACAATGTGAAGATACACAGGAAAATGGCAGGGCAGCTGTGTCCAGAAAGATCTGGGGATCCAAGGGTACACTTGCCTCTTCAAAAAATAAATACTGCCCTCGCCAGTTTTGCTCGGCGGTTAGAGCGTGAGCCCTCGGACTGAAGGGTCACAGGTTCCATTCCCAGTCAAGGGTATGTACCTCAGTTGCAGGCTCAATCCTGCTCCAGTCAGGGCCCATGAGGGAGGTAACCAATTGATGTCTCTCTCTTTCTCCCTCCCTCCCTTCCATTCTCTCTAAAACCAATGGAAAAAATATCCTCGGGTGAAGATTAAGTAAATAAATAAATAAAATTAAAGATGCCATATGTTTTCAAAGATACTAAGATAACTTGAAAGACTAGTTTTGTGAAATGTTAGTAATTTTTTAAAAAGCCAAACAATGAAATCATTTGTGCATTAGGATAGAAACATTTTGAAAGGAGAGAATTAAAGTGAAAAATAAAAAACATTAACTCAGGCAAATGAATCTGTTTATTTAAATATTTATACAAAAATGGCCGTAAGAGCAGTGGATAAACTTTCCCAAAGGTGTTGCTTCCCTTTTGATATTGCACACTAGAGAACATTTTAAATTCTTAATTCTCAAAATTAGATCTCAATGCTATGTTTTAAACTATATAACTTGTACTATGTCAACAGTGAATCTTATTAGAATCACAGTATCATCCAACTTACAGCATGAGAAATCAACTGCTAAGTATGTCATTTTAAAAAGTCAAATGAATCATTTACATCATTACCTTATAAAATTCAACCCATTTCAAAGACTTAAAATATACAATTATGTACTTTCTACTTTAAACAAAATGAAAAATGTTTTGAGTATCAAACAGTATATTATCTACCTTGTAGACAGCATCTTCATCTAACACTGCCACTGTGTTAGCAACTTGTAAATGACATGTAACTAGAAGAAAGGCTACTCCAAAACTGTTTATCTAATAAGTCATGACAAATTTGATACTAGACTTTATCTGGAAATTGCATTCATATTATATAGAAATAATAGTAAAATCTTGTCATTTTAGGTTAATGAAGTACCCTTAGAAAGCAGCTCTTCGTAACCTTTTTAGTAATACTAATTTAAACCCATCGTTATAGTCCCTTGACTGCCTTAATTTGGGCTCATCTAGATTCTGAGTTAAGGAATGATCTATTACCCAAGCCTGGAAACTTACAAATAAGACCAATATAGGTAACCCCAATTTAACTTTGATGGTAACTAAAAGTCATAGTTGTAGCCATTAAAAATAGCCATATTTCCATTACTATTCTATTTATAATACTTTGTATAATAAATAACATGCAGCAATATGGTGACATTCCTTGAATAAATTTGTTTTCCACACATTTCTAGAAGTTTCTTGTTACTTTCACTCATAGACATCCATTTTAAGGTTACACTGTGAGAAAACAGGATGAGGATATTTAGAAATTTCCCATTATGGCACAAATATGAAGGCCTAGCCAGCACTGGAAATGTTTTGGGCCTGAGCGTTTTTGTTTCCTCACATTAGTACATAGAACTGTCGGAGTTAAGAAGGCCGAAAGGAGACGGGAGCTTCTTCTTGACTTGAGGCCTGACAACCCCAACCGACGGGAGGCACAAGGTGCTGGCGGACTTCTGTCTGTTCTTGTTGGTGCCCCAACTCAAGAAAGAAAGCTTTTTCGAGATTTTCTTCGTTTTACCAGTCTTATCATCATCATCGTCTATGGCTAAGCAGATCATGGAGTAAGTTTTCTGCATTCCCACAGAGTATGTGGCACATTTATTATGCTGCATATAGAGAAGGAAGAAAAGGGTGTTAGAAACCCTCAAGATATCTGATAAGTGATTGCAAAGTCTGAGACACATTCTGCACTTACAGCATCCTCTTTAGGATTCAGTTGATATAATTCTGAAACTCAGGTGACTAGTCCTTATATAGATTTAGGTTCTTTTTTAAAAAGAATATATCTTTATTGATTTCAGAGAGGAAGGGATAGGAAGAGATAGATAGAAACATCAATGATGAGAATCATTGATCGGCTGCCTCCTGCACGCCCCCTACTGGGGATCAAGCCTGAAACCCAGGCATGTGCCCTTGACCGGAATCGAACCTGGGACCCTTCAGTCCGCAGGCTGACGTTCTATCCACTGGGCCAAACCAGCCAGGGCTAGATTTAGGTTCTTAAAAACAAGGACAATTTTTAAGGAATACACTCACTTTTTAAGGTTCTTATATTTGAAAAAGTAATACATACTCATGGTCAACAATATGAAAATACATAGAGTGAACAGTAAATGTTCCTCCTACTTTTGCTCCAGGCCCTTCTGAGTTAAACATGATTTCTGTTGCACTTTTGGAAATAATGTTCATATACAGGTAATGATATGTGCATAAGTATATGTCACCATTTGGTCTTATCTTAAAAGGAACACACTATACACACTGACTGGTCTGCATCCTGCTTTCTTCACTTAACGTATCTTGGATTTCAGTCTATGCCATTAGGTATAACAAAACTTCATTCTCTTTAAAGACAATATCGAATCCACAGTGAGGATGCCATTAACTTTTCCCCCTGCTTAAGTGGTATAGTCCTGTAGTATTATATATATTCATGTGGTGGTGCAACCATCACCACCATTCATCTCCAGAACTTTGTCATCTTTGCCAAACAAAAGTGTACCTATTAAACCCAACTTTTAAAGGACGTGTAGGACTCCAATAGGAAATATAAAGAAACTTGTTTTCTAAACACGTCCATGTGGGTTATCACCTGCTTGTAAGGCTTGCCTAACATTGAGATTGCTTTGTTCACCAAATGTTTATCAAACATCTATGTTCCAGGCACTGAAATCAGGCCATTTATGTAAGTATACATACAATAGACCTAAGTGGTTGGGTACATTGTTCCTAATATAAATCAAAGAATTTGAGTGATGCAGCAATAAAGGAGGGTATTCACTATAAAATGTCCCTCTTCACTATAAAATACGTGGCTCCTTTGGATAAAATCCTGCTCCCTTTCCTATAAAACTGCCATTAATCCCATATGCTCTACAGGACACACGTGCTCTCATTAAAAGCAATAAAGCAAACTCCTGGAGGCAGATTTAATGCCTGCGAACATTTTTCAACCTTTACCTGCTTAAAGTCCATTATACAGAATAACCCCTCCCTTGCAAACACCCTCAATTCCCTTACCGAATTCCACCAGTGAATGTCAACTCTAATTCAACACTCACTGCCTCCTCCAGGCCTGCATCTAAACAAATGCCCTTACTGGGGGATATTGACCAAGCTGACTGGTTCCCTTGACAGTCTAACCCTGACCCCAAAGCTTCACTGGGCACCTCATTACCGGGCACTCCTACATTTCCTTAGTAACTTTATTCCTTTTCTCCTAGATACCTTCTCTCAAGCCCTGCACATGCCCTCCTGATATCCTTGCCTTACATTTAATTCATGTGTCCACAAAGACAAGCCCGCTGGTGTTCCTGGATCTCATGCCCTGTCTTCTCCAGGTTTTCCCTCCTTGCACCCCTATCTCCCAGACCTTTCCCACCAGCACACAAGCTTGCTGTTACCTACACACACACCACCACCACCTTCTTTGAAAAGCTTTCCTTTCCTCTTTTCCCTATGTCCGTCCCCCACCCCCAGCTACCACCCAATGGCTCTGCTCCCTTTCACAGGTCTTCCCTCCCCCATTCACTTGTTTTCCGTCTTCCTCCAGCATGCTCCCATCACATCTTCCTGGGAACCTCTGGATCTCTCAGGGCTTTATGGAGCAGGTTGAAACCATAGCCCTAGTCAACTTTTACATTACATGGATGGGGAAACTGAGGCCAAGGGAGGGGTATTAACCTACTGACGGTCACACAGCTTGTTAATGGCAGAGAAGGCCTGATTCCAGGTCTTTTGATTCCATGCCTAGGATTCCACTATATCAGCAGTTTTCAAAATATGCTCCACAGAGGAGTCCTAAGGGATCCCCACTGTGATCCAGAGAGAATGTGTTTTTTTTGGCGGGGGAAGACAGGTAATCAATTCAGCTAAGCACTCAGCTCTATTCTCATTATTTGGTTTTGTTTGAAGAAAAGGTTTAGCAGTTAAAAACAGTGCTCATGCCTGGCTGGCATGGCTCAGTGGTTGACTGTCAACCTATGAACCAAGAGGTCATGGTTCGATTCCCAGTCAGGGCACATGCCCGAGTTGCGAGCTCAGTCCCCAGTGTGGAGTGTGCAGGAGGCCGCCAATTAATGTTTCTCTCTCATTATTGATGTTTCTATCTCTCCCTCTCCCTTCCTTTCTGAAATCAATAAAAATATGTTTAAAAAACCATCAAAACAAACAAACAAACAAAAAACAGTGCTCAAATGTTATTATCTAGAATCCTTGCTGGGAGAAAGGAATAACCACATCATGGTTATTATAACACCTGTTATGAACTGAAACATATCGCATGCCAGGCGCTGTTTTCCCCATTTTCCTGAGGCTGAGCTGTTCCCTGAATTGCCCAAGGTCACACAACTGGTGGCAAAGCCAGGATTCAAATCTAGGCAGTGAGTGTAGAATCCTTGATTTTAACCACCACATCCATTGGCCTCTTCAAACATAGGACAGGTTTGAAAAATAAGCCTTTCAATCTCTGTTCAGGGGCAGGGCCGCTCTGTGAAGCCACGCCTCCCTCCCTGTCAGTGCCATCTACTCCATGTCAGTGCCATCTACTCCAGCTCTTCAGCCCAGAGCCCAGCCTTTTTATTCATCCTCCTTTTAGACAAACCTCTTCTCTTTCTGGTTAGGATCTTGATCACTTCTCTACCAATTCTATGGAGTCTGCTCCTAAAAGTACCATTTCTCACGATCCCCTCTCCCAAGGTGCTCTGTGAGTCCACTGACTTTATTTTTTAAATTAAGATACAATTCACATCCCATAAAATTCACCATTTTAATGCAATTCAGTGGTTTTTAGTATATTCACAGTTGTGCAACCACCACCACTATCTAATTTCAGAACCTTTTCATCCCTCCAAGAAACTGTACCCATGAGCAGTCACTCTCCATTCCCCAATGCTCCAACCCTAGCCCCTGGCAACCACGAATCTACATTCTGTTTCTATGGACTTTCCTATTTTGCACATTTCTTATTGGTGAAATCACACAATCCATTCACTCTCCAACCCTCTCTAATCTGAGTCTCTCCGCCATCTCTCCTTTTGTCCTTTTGTCCTTTTGTCCAGCTGCCAAATAGACATGGCTCCTCCTCCCTCACTCTCCACCTCTTAACTTATGCAAACGGTGGGCCACTCTCTCTGGGCAGGATTTTCTTCTCTTGATTCAGAAGCCCTTTTTTGTTTTGCCCAATCTCTCTGAACTCGCCCTCGCAACTTCCTTTGCACCACTTCTCACAGACCTCCAGATGTTTGCGGTGTCTCAGTTTAGTCCTCAGCCCTCAGCCCCTCACAGGCAATTTCATTTAGTCTCTTACAGCTTTAAATATCATCACTATGCTGAAGGTTCTCAAATATTTATTTCTAGCTCTGACTTCTCCCTTACACTGAAGATTAGAACATCCAGCCACCTACTTTACATTTATATCTAGTGTCTAATGGCATATGAAACCGTCAAAGCAGAATTCTTGTTTTCTCTCACTACCGTCCCTGTTCCCCATCATTATAAAAAATGATGGAGCTGTTCAAGCCCAAAACTAAGAAATCATCTCTCTTTCTACCATCTTTTTTTTTTTAAACATAAATCATCTACAAATTTCTGTCAGCTCCACCTTCAAAGTATGTCTCAGGTGCATCCACCTCCCTCCACTGCCATTGTCACCCCTCCTAGTGTAAGCTGCTAACATCACTGGCCCGATGACTGCCCTAGCCAGCTTACGCTGCTGCCACCAGCCAGCCTCCAGGCAGATATCCGTCTCAAGTAAACATCCTTCATTTCATTCCCTTCTTAAAAGCTTCAATGGCTTCCAAAGTCCCACTGCTGCCAATGAGGCCATCTCCCTCCCACCTCATTTCCTGTTGTCAGATGCTCTAGTCAAAAGGCCCTCTTTTTGTTCTGTCACCATGCCACAGGGCTTAATCATGCCACAGGGTCTCTGCACCTGCTGGCCCCTGCCCAGAATGCTCCTCTTGTACCTCTTCAAATACAGAGGTTCCTCCTCGTCGCTCAAGTCTTTGTGAAAGTTCTGTCTGAAGGGGCCTCTCCCTACCCCCAGTCATTCTATTATGTCACACCTTTTCTTTTCTTTGCAGTACTTATCAAAATCACAACCACTTATTTGCTTATTTAGTGCCAGCTTTGTGGGGGCAGGAACCTTATCTGTCTAGTTCCAGTTGTAGCTCCAACACCTAGGAAGGGCCTGGCACACAGCTAATGCTCAATCAATATTTGTTGAATGAATAAATAAATGTTATTATAGAGGGAAATCTCTAAGGCACATTGTTAAATGCAGCAAAGTGTGAAAGAGTGTATGAAATGATTCCTTCCACTGGGGGGAAAAAAGGATATAACTGCACAGGGACTTGCACAGGCATCAAACAGTTCCCAAGATCTCATAGGAAACAGCAAATGTTATCTTTGACAGGTGGAGAGAATCTTTCAAATGACAAGCCCTTCTGGACCACTTGAATATATTTTTACTATGAGTATGTATTACTTTTGTCATTAAAAAGGATATACTCAGGCCCAGCTGGCATGGCTCAGTGGTTGAGGTTGACCTATGTACTAGGAGGTGATGGTTCAACTCCCATCAGGGCACATGCCCGGGTTGTGGGCTAGATCCCTAGTAGGGGGCCTGCAGTGCTTTTCTCTCATTATTAATGTTTCTATCCCCTGCTCCCTCTCCCTTCCTCTCTGAAATTGATAAAAATTTATTTTTTTAAAAAAAGGATATAATCAGGAAAACAAAGCTATTGGTTATTTTATCTACAGGATCAATAATACAAGTTTTCTAGTGCTCTCTGAACCAAGGCAAGCACATCCCAGCAATGGCAAGCTTAGGAAGGAGTTCAGTCATTGTGGCATGCTTCAAATGCAGGCAGGAGGAAGAGGGTCCGGGAAAGACCTCTGAGGTTACACCAACCTCACCCCACTTTGCTATTTACTACCAGGGGTGTCAGCCTCACCATGGATGAGGTGGAGTCCAGGAGGCTCACAACCTTCATCTCAATGTCGTCCTCGCCGAAGTTCTTCAGCAGTTTCATAACCTCGCTCACTGTCAGCCATTTACAATCCACATTTTGAATGGAAACAATATAATCCCCTTCCTTGGCTCCTGCCAGCTACAAAAGTATAACGTAAATAAAGGTCACATTCTGTTCATCCAGTTCCTGGAATCAGTTTCCAACTTCATTAATAAAATAGATATTTGCAAAAATTTGCTTTAAGAAATAAAAATTAATCTTTTCCTCTTTGGGCATGTAACACCCATAAGAGGGCTTTTTAATAAAGGAACCCTAAATCATTCACCCACGTTTGTTTGGGCAGCTTTCTTTGTATTTTACCAGTTTGACTGCCTGCAAAGATGCCAGTGAGTTTTGCCCCCTAGAATGGCATACACTTACCGCAGCAGAGCAGTAAGGGTCCAGGAAGTGGACCTGAACTGGAGAGTTTCCTCTCAAGGTGAACCCTAAGTCCCCTTCTTCCGCAGTGAAGTGAATGCTTCGAGGAGGTGTCCATCTCTTGTTGGCCGAAAACACCGACAAAGGACCCTTTGGAATAGAGCATCATTAGCTGTAGGATCTGAAGGCTGAATCAGGCATTTGAAAGCTAAAGGAAATGTTGCCTTGTTGTCTTTGCAGATGTCATTCAGCCTTGCTCAGAGACTAATGAAATGACACCACCCGAGGTAATACATGCTACAGCAGTCATATGAGAACATGAATTGCCATTTTCTCTGAAATAGCCAACATATTTTAAATAAAATTATCTTAATTAAAATCCACAAATTAAGAAAATCTAAAACAGGGGTGAGGAAACATTTTTCTGCCAAGGGCCATTTGGATATTTATAACATAATTCGCGAGCCATACAAAATTATCTTAAAAATTATGTTGCTATGAAAAAAGCTCCTAGATTTATTGAATTCCGAGTCCTGCCTGTGGTTGCTATAGCAGGGCCAGACCAAATGACACCGCTTGCAGGCCGGATGTTCCCCACCCCTGATCTACAATATCTAAAAATAATCTTTTACATACTTGCAACATGTAAAAGCTGTCCCTTAGGTCATTATGAAATAAACACTCAACATACCAATTTCTGGAAGAAGTCTGTTGCTGTCACCTTGGAGAACTGTGGCACTATAATTTCAACCTCTTGCTCAGTTTTAGCTAGAAAATAAGATTAAAAGGGAAGGTATAGATATTTCTGTAGTTGAAAGTTATCCTCAATGCTGGCCAGGTAGCTCAGTGGGTTAGAGCATCATCCCAATATGCCAAGGTTTCAGGTTCAATCCCATCAGGGCACATACAAGAAACGACCAATGAGACTGACTGGCATGGCTCAGTGGTTGAACGTTGAACTATGAACCAGGAGGTCAGGGTTCGGTTCCTGGTCAGGGCACATGCCCAGGTTGCAGGCTCAATCCCCAGTGGGGAGCATGCAAGAGGCCACCGATCAATGATTCTCTCTCATCATGGATGTTTCTATCTCCTTCTCCCTCTCCCTTCCTCTCTGAAATCAATAAAAATGTATTTTAAAAAAGAATCAACCAATGAATGCATAAATAAGTGGGGCAACAAATCGATGTTTCTCTCTCTCAAAATAAATTAAAAAAATAAAAATTCAGGTCTAAATCTTTACTCTGAAGGGAAGAGGCAGCAAACCTTGCTCCTAGTCACGCGTCCTGTCACTTGGTTTTGGACTACTGGTCTAGCCCCCTGGTCCAGTATGACCTGTACCTACCATAAGCCATACCCTGCTCTGGGGCTGAGACAGAGCAATGACAAACTGATACATTCCCTGCCTTCAAGTAGCTTGTTTATATTCTAGTGGACTTCCTTTGGTATCATAAAACCCTGCTGAGAAATAATCTATATTTTAGGCGTCGCTATTACAGAAGGAAGTACCATGTCTGATAGCACAAAGTCCTGGAGGAGATGTGCTTCTTTTCATTATTAGTGTGTAATGGGGTGATTTCACAGTGAGCAGTGAGTTTGCCAAATTGTGTCCATCAATAGCTCAAATCTCCACACATCTATGGCAGACCCAACCCACCCTTACCAAGAGGCTAGTCGGCTTCTCACAAAGGATCCCAGCGCAGGCTAAGTATACATGAACAACAGTATAAAAAGAAACCTTGAGGAAGCAGACTGGCACTGCCAAGGTAGATCACACCCATCTATTCACAGGATGACCCTGTGGCTTCTTACAAACTGCCTGATACAGTGCTGGGCTTGGAGAGGCTGCCCATCCACTAAGAGTAGTGCCACCACCCCATGACCTCACCAGGAGTCATGTGTCTCCCTCCCTCCATGGAGGTTATGTCTCTACCTCCTGGCCACAGAGCACCAGGGGGCCAAGGAGGTGGCCACAGTGTCTGTGAAGGAGATTCTCTGAGCACTATTCCTGCTTCCACCAACCAGCTTGGTCACCTAAGCCTTTATGGTCTCATCTTTAAGATAAGGGAATACAGTACTTCCATCATACAGTTGGCAAAGGAGATTGAATGAGATTCTGTATACAAGTGGTGCTTAATATTGGACCTGGCAGATCAAATGCTCAGTAGGTATCAGCCAACATTACTACAGCCAAGCCCAGGATTCTAGCCTGAGCTAGAATCTAATCCTAAGGAGCTAGTCCCTGAAAACTGGGGGGTAGAACTCCAGAGCTGCGGACAGAGGTTTAGGAAATAGGATCGAAGGGGGTTTGGCCAAAGGGGGTTCCTTTGATTGGGCCACCCTCCATCCCTTCCCCTAACTCCCGGAAAGATCCTAGTCATTCTCACTGTAAAGTCACCTCTGAGGAGGCCCCTCCACTCCTGGCCTCCACGGCAGAACTACTGACACCCTTCCAAGGGCAGCAACAAGTGTCCAGTTCACCTCCATATTCTTGAAAACAGGACAGTGCTCAGCACTTTAGAGATCCTTAGAAAATGCTCATGGTGCACCATCTCATTTATATGTGGAATTTAAAATAGTCCAACTCATCCTGGCCAGTTTTTCTCAGTGGTTAGAGCATTGGCCCAGGGGCCAAAGGGTTGCGGGTTCAATCCCCAGCCTTGGTCGGGGCGCGTGCAGGAGGCAACCAATTGATGTGCCTCTCTCACATCGATATTTCTCTTTCTCTCTCCCCTCCCCCTTCCACTCTGTCTGAAAATCGATGGAAAAAATATCCTCAGGTGAGGATTTAAAAAAAAATCATAATTAAAAAAACAATAATAAAATAGTCCAACTCATCAATGCAGAGAGCAGAATGCTAGATGCCAGAGGTAGAGGTAGGGGAAATGAGGAGATGTTGGTCAAAGGTACAAAGTCTCAGTTATACAAGATGAGTAAGCTCTAGAGATCTAACATACGGCATGGTGACTATATTTAACAATACCATACTGTATACTTGAAATTTGCTAAGAGGGTAATCTTAAGTGTTTTTCACACACACACACACACACACACACACACACACACACAGTCACTCACTCACACACTTGATGAACTAGGTTTTTAAAAAATATTTTTATTGATTTTATTTTTTAATATTTTTATTTATTTATTTCAGAGAGGAATGGAGAGATAGAAACATCAATGATGACAGAATCATTGATCAGCTGCCTCCTGCACGCCCCCTACTGGGGACCGAGCCCACACCTTGGGAATGTGCCCTTGACCGGAATCAAACCCGGGACCCTTCAGTCTGCAGCCTGACTCTCTATCCACTGAGCCAAACCGGCTAGGGCTCAATAAACTAGGTTTTGAAGAACTCTTCCTGTATCCCCTGGTTCCACTATATCAGTGAAAGTTTTAGGTGCCATTTCATAATAAAAATAACTTTTGTCTTTGAAGAAAAATACATGTTGGTGCTAATAAAAGATGGAGTAAACGGGGGAAGGAGCAAGCCTAGAAGGGAGAATAAGGATGCATTGGCTTTCAAACCAGGAAGCCCGAGTTGTAAAAGGCAGATACTATCAAAGTTATACAAGATGGAATGTGGGTGGGTGTGGAGTGTAGCAAAAATGTCAACACAAAAGGGAGTCTCCTGAGTGGAGGTGATGACTGGAACCCCAAGGAGGTTGGGAGACTTTAAGGAAAGGAATCTAGAGGAGGAAAAGTCAATAAAGGGGGTGGAGAGGGAAATGGGAATGGACAAGGTGACAGGGCACCCTGACACCAAGAGAGGAGCATCAAGGGGCAGGAGGGAAGTCAGAAGTCACTAAGGGGTTGTCAAGGCCAAGTCTATAAAGAAACCCCTGGATTCAGGCACAAGGAGATGAGCAAGAGCAGCATTTTGCCCCTCCCAGTGCCCAGCACATTACGAGGGTTTGCCCAGCTCCTCAGAATGAGTTAATAAAAGCAGTGTGCCCCAAGTGCCACTGCCTCTCACACAGGGCACACTCGGTACCTGGCACAGGCACCCAGATCACTCACAGATAATGTCAGGAACATCGATCAAGTTCAGCAGGTCATCGTCCTCCTGGTGCTGAGTGTATTTGAGCTGGGATCGCTGGTGTGCCACGGACAGCACCTCCTGCAGCAGCTCGATGTTGCGGAGCTTCTTGCATAGGCTCACTCCCCTCACAGACTCCTCGTGATGGGCAATGGCTTTGCGCAGATGGGATTTGCCTGCCAACAGGAAAGCAGCACCACGTGACATGTGTCCTAAATTGCAGCACGAGTACCTCAAGGAAAGCCAAAGTGCCCAAGGATCAGCCCAGAAAGGTGGGCATTCTCTTTTCTGAAGAATCTGCCCAGATGGCTTAAGTCTCTCTGAAGTGCATGTGCAATATGTTCATTTATGTACATAAAACATCCATTCACCATATATTTACTGAATGTTCTAGGCAGTAGAGATAAAGCAATGCATTCATGGAGCTTACATGCTCATAGCTGAAGACAGATAATTAACAAACAAAGCAGTATGTAATGGAATGTGTGGCAATCAGGTTATGGAGAAATGTGAAACTGGGTAGGCAGATGTGGCAAGAGAAGACTGGGAATGGAAAGTTGCTCTTCTATGATGGGTAATCAGGAAAGACCTTTTTGAAGATAACTTTTGAATAAAGCCCTGAAGGAAGTAAGGAAGCAGCCATGATGATATCTAACAGAAGAGCATTCCTGAAGGAAGAAACAGCAAGTGCAAAGGCCCTGGGGCAGGACCATGCCTATGTGTTCAAGGACAACAAGGTGTTTGGGGGTGAGGCAGGGAAGGGTAGGAAAGGAGGGCAGAGAGGAGCAGGGGCTGGACCAAGTCCGACCATGCAGGGTGAGGACTTAAGCTCCTATTGTGGGTAAGATGGGAGCCCGTCAGGGTGTAAGCAGAGAACTGATGTGATTTGACCATGTGAAAGGACTATGAAGGAGCAAAGAGAAAAGCAGGAAGACCAGCTATGAGGCCACTACAAAAAGCTGGGCAAGCTGTGTAACCTCTCTGGGACTATTTCCTCAACTGAAAAATGGAGATCATGCCGTATCTCTCTCATAGGATTGTGTGAGGTTTAGCAAGTCTGCATCGTGTGGCTTGGATCAGGGTGGTAGGGTGAGAAGCGGCTCGCTTTCTAGGTAGAGTCAATGGGATTTGCTAATCAGTTGTGGGGAGACAGAGCACAGAGTGAGTCCAGGTTTCTGGCCTGCACACCTAGAAGGATGCAGTTGCCATCACTGAGATGGGGAAACTATGTGGCAGGGTGGGTAGGGGGGCGGGGGGTGGTGAGACTTGGCAGAGATCAAGCCAGGACAATTCATTACCAGTTCTCAGGTGTGACCTGAGAAAATGAACTACTGTGTCCTTCCACATGAGGGGTGATGAAAGACTGTCAAAGCTCTCCACTGGGGAGGCCCGGGCCCTCGCGGAACCCACGAGAACATAGCTCTGGAAGCCCGCAGAGATGAGAGGACTACGCCTCATGGTTTCAGAATCCAGAATGGCCACAATGACTCTGGACCTCTGCTCTCCAAGCCTTGCCCTGGGGGCATGTCTGGAGCTATTTGTGAGCAGGACCAGCTGGGCAACAAATGGGACACAAGGAGGGAGGGAGCGGGAGAGCCAATACACACCCAGCTGTCGGCGCTGGTTCGCGTTTTTCAGCGTGGCCAAGGGCGTCAGCCCCTCCGGCATGTGGTCATAGAGCTGGGACAGGCACTTCTCCTGGTGGTCTTCATCTGTACCCGGCTTCACTGTAACAAGAGCCACAGGATGAGTCCCTTCTCATGGACATGGCTGAGGGCTCTGGAGACGGCGCCACAGACCCACTTAGAGATTTCTCTTCCAACCACATCTTCAGCTTCCTTCCTTCCCCAGTTTTACAAGGCACTTGGGATAATAGGTCTCCTTTCTGCCCTTGGATAAACTCCACAAGTCTTTGCATATGTAGGGCTCATAATTTGGTGTTGAGGTCCCACCCTCAACCCCTCCAACCCACCCACTTCGAGGAACCTCCTATCACAGCCCCGCCTCAAACCTCTGGTGGCCTCTGTGCCTGCACTGTCCCTGGCACATGTCCCCCTCTAACCTCACCAAACCACTCACCACTCTGCTCAACACTTTTGGCCTCCATCTCAGAGCTCAGGCAGCTGCTCTAGCTGTCCTTTCCTTCCTTGATCAGCTGAAAAAGTCCTAAGAGCTCAAAGTCCATCTCAAATGAAAAACTGTCCGTGACTGCACCAAGAAGTCCAACTGCTGCCTCACCGGTGGTCCCTGCTGCAACTACTGAAGCACTGTATTTGCGCTGGTTTACATGACTCACCTGCCTAGCAGACTACATAATGATATTAGCAGTAAGTAGCAGCTAACACATTTAGGGAGCCACCTACATACAAGGCACTATTTAGCTTTACACATGGCCACTGTTTTCACAACAGCCCTGTGAGATAGGTCCCCTTCACATCCTCATTTTAAAGATGAGAAAACTGAGGCACAGAGCAGCTAAGTAACTTGCCCAAGATCACACAGCTAATAAATGGCAGAGCTAAGATATGAACCCAGGGAGTCTGGCTCCAGAGGCTACTCTCTTCATTATGCTGGGGGCTGCCTGGATTAGTACTAATTACAACAACATTCCCACCGGCCTGAGATCAGAGCCAAAACCAGGGTGAGGAGAATGACGCACTCGCCTCCAGCTGAAAATTGAAGGGGGTGCCAAAATCTCAACAAGTATATAATTGTTTAATACAAGTTTCTAAATATCAAAATCAATGCAAAAAATCCACGTAAACAAACAAAAATCAAAATTTCTTTTTGCTTCAGGCTCTGATGTGGCTCAGCATAGCATTGTTACCAATCCCCGTATTTGTTTATTTATACTTTCTTTTGGAGAGATAGGAAGGTAGAGAGAGAAAGACAGAGAGAGACAGGGAGAGACAGAGACAGACAGAGACAGACAGAGACAGACAGACACCAATCAGCTGCCTCCTGTATGCACCTGATCAGGAATCAAACCTGCAATCTGGTACATGCCCTGACTGGGACACTGCAACCAACTAAGCCACACCAGCCAGGGCACCCCATCTTTATTTAAAATTCTGATCACCTCTGGCTGGCTGGTGTGGCTCAGTTGGAGCACTGCCCAGTACCCTAAAAGTTTGTGGGTTCGATTCCTGGTCAGGGCACATACTAAGTTGCAGGGTCTTTTCCCAGTCAGGATGCATATGGGAGGCAACCAATCAACGTTTCTCTCTCTCTCTCCCTCCCTCTTCCTTTCTCTCTTTCTCTAAAATCAATTTTAAGAAATTTATCACCATGGATTTTTTTGCATTAATTTTGATTCATTTAAAATGTCACATTTAAATTTTATCTTGATTATTGAGTTTTGGGGCATTCCCTTAGATTTTGTGCCTCAGACAAATGCCTCCTATTCCGTGCCCTGGTCCTCACCCTGTTCTAGCTCTCCATAACATCGTCTGCTCCATCCCAGGCAGAATTAACACTTCCCCCTTTCCTCCCACAGTGGAAACATGTAATGCCTAATCGCACCCTGGCCTATGTAACAGCTATTTGGACCAACATGTACTTCCCACCCTCAGTCCCTAAGCAGTGAGCTTCTCCAGGGCACACAGACAGCCCCTATTCAGCTCATAATCTCCTGGAAGCAGGAAAAACACAACCCTGATCGAAGCCCAGAGCCCCCAGACCCCCAAGTCTTACACTGGTGGTCGATGAGGAGAGTGGCTACAAAGTAATGGGCCAGGGCTCCATAGTGGTGGGCCTTCACACAGGCCACGCTGGCCCAGGAGTAGGGGATGTTCTCCTTCACTGGCGCCTGGCTCATGGCCGTGTGCAGCTGCTGATAGACCTCTCCCACCTGCAACAGAAGCGATGTTGGGAAGGGGGAGCCTGGCACAGGAGCCCTCATGTACCCGGGCTGAAGAAAAAGAGCCCTTTCTTCTATGCAGCAGCCCCTGCCAGAGACCGCTCCAGAATCTGGGAGTGACTCCAAGGATGCTTCATGCTGTCAGTGTCAGAGTTAACAGGGAGATCAGGCAACTGTCATTAAGCTGGTTTTTAGGCCAAGCTGCAGATGGAATCAGTGATCCATATCTGAAACACCAGTACTTGCCAAGAAAATGCAAGCCAGCACTGTGGCCAGGGTGGGCACACTGCCCAGTCATAGGCAAGCTGCCATGGGAAGCCCACTACTTCCACTGAGCCCGCACCAACGCATCCTGCCCACTCTCCAAGTCACTAGAACCAGGAAGGCTTACCTTGGCAGCCTCCTGAGCCACCTTCACCAGCATGAAGAACTCATTCTGGATCCCAGGAAGGCAGATTTTCTCAAACACGGTTTCTTGGGCCTGTGCGAGCATCATTTTGACCAGCACACTGAGCATGGCGGGACTCATGTCATAACTCGGTGTGTGAGTAAATGTCTCTTTCAGGTAGTTTAAAACCCCTACAATTGGAAATTTTTTGCACATTAGTTGGGGATCATATTTATTTCACCATGCTGCTCAGAAATATAGAGAATGACAGAAGCAAAAATATAAAGTGGCATCCTGAAGCATCTTAAAAAATCTGATTTTTAATCACCGTCAGATCCAGCAATTCCACTCCTAGGGAAACACACCAAAGAATTGAAAGCAGGGACTTAAACTGGTAGTTGTGCAACAACATTCATGGCAGCATTATTTACAATAGCCAAACGGCAGAAACTACTTAAATGTCCATTGGTGGATTAATGGATAAACAAAATGTGGCAGAAACATGCAATGGAATATTTTTCAGCCTTAGAAAGGAAGGAAATTCTGACACAGGCTACAATATGGAAGAAGACATTATGCTAAGTGAAATAATCATAAAAACACATATTGTATGATTCCACTGAGATGAGTTGTGTGAAATAGACTGGAATTCATACAGACAAAAGTAGAATGATGTTTGCCAGGGATTGGAAGGGAGAGGGAATGGAGAGTTACTGTTTAATAGGAACAGAGTTTCAGTTGGGATGATGAAAATCCCTGGAGACAGATAGTTGTACAGCAATGTGAAAGTACTTAATGCTAATGAACTATACTCTAAAAAATTGTTAAAATGGTAATTTTGTTATGTATCTTTTACCACAGTTTACAAAGTGATAGGGGAGCATCTGAGATCTGCTTCCTGGCAATGTCATCAGTTTGGCTCAAATAAACTCATAAAAATTCTCTAAAAAAAAAAAAAATAGTACTTTCTTCCAAAACATTTACATCTGTATTAAGAAAGGAAACCAGCCTTAACCAGTCTGGCTCAGTGGAGAGAGCGTCGGCCTGCGGACTGAAGGGTTCCAGGTTCGATTCTGGTCAAGGGCATGTCCCTCGGTTGCGGCCACATCCCCAGTGGGGAGTGTGCAGGAGGCAGCTGATCAATGTTTCTCTCTCATCGATGTTTCTAACTCTCTATCCCTCTCCCTTCCTCTCTGTTAAAAAAAATCAATAAAATATATTTAAAAGAAAAAAAAAAAAAGAAAGGATCAGCCTGGCTCCCGTCCATTCCTGCGTCTCCTGGGATGATTGTGAGAACGTCCAAACCTGACCAGGCATTAGGGGAAGGCAAAGCAGAGGGCAGGAATGACTGAGGGGCTCTCAGGAGGACACTCACACTTAACACCTCGGTCATTCAGAAATTCAGGGCTTTTGCCCAGGAAACAGGCAGGATCAGCTCAGCCCATTCCAATGGAAAATTTCAAGCTGTAGCCCTCGGCTTACGTTTTTTATGCTTTAGAAAATTAACTGTCACAACATAAACAGACATCAACCTGGAGCTAAAATAAAATCTCTACCATGAATCCCATCGGACTGGTTCCTCTGGTTTTGCCACAAAGCACAGACCGCTCTACAGAAAGATGGCAACTGTGGCAGGCTGTCTGCTTCCCTCTGTGTTCCAGAGTATGCGACAGAGGCCCTGCTAGAGGGGACTCTTGGACACCACCTTGAGCCCACTCACTGCACCAGGCCTCTTACCCTGGTCCTCCACAGGTTGGTAATAAGTGACACTTGACAAAGGGCCAAGAAGAGCAACCTTAGGTGGGCAGGCTTCATAGAATCAGCAAAATATAAAGGCATAAGTAGTAATAGGCACCAATAAGGCACACATGATTTTTTTTAAAAGCCTATGTTTTCACTACTCGGAAAAACTTACTCTGTTCTTCAGTACAGTGTTCATAGGAACACTTCATTCACTGCCATCCTTAGGGCTACTCATTTGGAAAGGATTAATCGTTAACCATAGGATTCCCTGTGCACATGAGCCATAACCCAGACCCAGACGGAGCCAACAGGGTGTAAAACATTAAGTAACTCCCTTGGTGGGAAATTACAGCAGTGCTGGAAACTGGCCTGGCCCTTTCAGGCCCGTGAGACCTGGGAAGGACCCACAGACCCACTTCAGTTGGGGTACCCAGCAGCCCTCTCGGAGACGCACCTGCGGCTTTCTGAAACGCATCCATTGCACCCTCCAGCCCAGCTTGCGTCTGCCGATTACACCGGGTCCCAATCTGTGTGTAGAGGGCTCCAGTGTTAAACAGAATGCTGGCTTTCTCCAGTAACAAGTTCTGTTGGCTGACTGGAACCCCGGTCAGGGAGTCATACCTATTTAAAAGAAATGTGTTGTGAGAATAGTTTACTTGGCTATTTAACGCCATTTGGGGGTAAAAAATGGACAAAACTTATTTCTTGAATAAATTCAAAAATGCACATGCAATGAGGCCTTCATTTCCAAACAAGATGAGGGGCCTGATCATACTGAAGACGCACAATAGCACACAGAAATAAGGTTTCACAATGCCCTTCAATAGGTGAATGGGTAAACAAGCTGTGGTACATCCATACAGTGGAATATTATTCAGCACTAAAAGAAAAAAGCTATCCAGCCATGAAAGACATGCAGGAACTTCAAATGCATATTGCTAAGTGAAAGAAGCCAATCAGAAAAGGCTACATACTGTATGACTCCAACTATATGACATTCTAGAAAAGGCAAAACAATGGAGACAGAGAAGGAATCAGTGGTTGCCAGAGTTTCAGAGGGGAGAAGGGGGAGGGACGAATAGGTGGAGCACAAAAACTTTTTAGGGCAGTAAAGGGACTCTGCATACTGTAATAGTAGATACTTCTCATTATACATTTATCCAAATCCATATAGAATGTACAGCCCCAAGAGTGAACCCTAATGTCAGCTCTGGACTCTGGGTGACACTGTGCCAACTGTAGTAAGTCAACGTACTGCTCTGGGGGGGAATGTTGATGTTGGGGGAGGGTGTGCTGTGTGGGGGCAGGAGGTATATGGGAAATCTCTGTACCTTCAATTTTGCTGTGACCCCAAAACTGTTCTAAAATACATATTTAAAAAAGATAAGGCTTCTCCTAAATGAAATACAGCAATTACAAACCCCTCATACTTCTTGCTAAAGTCTAAAAGATTTAGGATTCGTTTTAAAGTTCAAACATCAACCTGCAGGCAGACAGGGAGCTTCTCCTTAATTCAAGACTGAGGTGAAAGACTGAGGCGAAACCACCTTTAGCACCTCCGCCGGAGCAGGCAGCTAACAGCATCTTTACACAGCCCCCTGCCTTTCCTTTCCAGGGCAGGCATCCCGTGGGCCTGCTGGGGGATAATTTAACCCTCACTGTCGGGACTTAGTCTCTTCTCACCCCCACTCAGAACAGGCCCAGCAGCTGTAAAGTATTTCAGCAGCACTAATCTTAAATATTCAGCTTTGTTTTCTATTTGATCTATTTCTGTTTGCACCCCTGTCATTGGGACAAAACCTGGTTCCCAGCCCCCACCTCATCTGGGACAAGAATCTTGCTTCTTGTTAGTTCCACCTCAGAGCCCCAGTGTTTCCCCAGGATAAAATGAGCACGAAAAAATGCCTCTTCTCCTCGGCTCACTTGTTCTGAGAAGCAAAAGGCAAACTCTGTTGCAGCCTTCTCCCCTCGGGTCTCCTTCGCAAATAAACACCAGTTTATCTACACGTCCTGTATAAAGGGGACAATTAGAGAGAGGGGCCCACAGTGCACAGGAGCCTCTGTGGTGCCCAGGCTCCAAGCAGGGACTGAAGTGGGGCAGCCCCAGCCCCAGGCACCTACCATGTAAACAAGATCCCCATCTGTCGGGTGGGCGGGAAGAATCGGCTCTCAACAAAGCCCAACTGGAGGAAATAACTCATCAGCATCTCAACACCGGCCTCATCCCGGCTGGGTGTCCTACAAGCCTGAAAGGAAAGGAACGGCACCGGCACCATGGGGGTGAGGTGAACACACAGGCTGGAAGGTGCTCACACACGCTGTTTCTGTGGAGCTTGGCCCTGCTATTGGTATCATGAACTCTAGGAGGGGTGGAAGGGCTGGGATGAACTCAGGAGTGCCACAATCGAGCCCCAGCCATGCCAGTGGGCAGGCCTCTTCCCTTCTGTGGCCTATGTGACAGACAGATGATTCTAACAGCCCCTCCCGATCACCTCCAACCATCTGCAATTCTATAAGATTTCAAATGCAATAGGGAGAATATCCTGAAGACTCAACAAGCTCCAGCAGCCACCCTCCCCTCCCTGCTGCATACAGAAACGTACTTGTCTCAGATCCATAAGATCTGCTATTTCATCTTCATATAGGTAGCTGTCTTCACTGTAGTGTTCCAGAATAAAATCCTGTAAGATAAAATGGAGATAAGGTGTGATTCAAAACCATAAAGAGGTAAAAGAGTAACGTCTAATGTGCTCACTTGAAAAATACGTGAAGCCCTGGCTGGTTTGGCTCAGTGGATAGAGTGCTGCCTGCAGACTGAAAGATCCTGGGTTTGATGCTGGTCAAGGGCACATGCCCGGGTTGCAGGCTCGATCCCCAGTGGGGACAGTGTAGGAGGCAGCCAATCAATGATTCTTTCTCCTCATTGATGTTTCTATCTCTCTCTCCCTCTCCCTTCCTCTCTGAAATCAATAAAAATATATTTTAAAAAATACATGTAGAATACAAAGAAACCTATGGGAGCTTGTACACTACCATGATTTTCTGAGTGGTAGGGTTTATTTTCTTAATTGTATTTATGTGTATTTTAAAATTTTGCTTTACAACAATAAAAAGGAAAGCTGAAATTATTATTTCTAAAAATGTCTTTGCAACACAGGTAAGTGACCTGTACATTAAATGATGCTGGTAAACGTCGCAGATATTCAGGAGCTCAGACCTGCATCCTCTGGGCTCCCAGGGTCTTCCTGGAAAAGGAAACTTGTATCTGGGGGATGCTACCCTCAGGGCCTGCGATGTGAACCTTAGTGACAGCAGCTCTGGCACGTCCACAAATGAAGCCCCCCAGCGAGACTTCCTACTGGGCCCACTGCCCAGTGCTTGACAAGCACTGTGTGAGCTCACTCAGTCACAGGGCACTACTGATGAGCATGGGCCTACGCCAGGCATGTTCACAGTGCCTGGGCTACATCAGTGAACAAAACAAAGATCCTGCCCAGTGGAGCTTATATTCTCTCAGGAGCACAGACAATAAGTAACAGGCACAACAAATATGTAAATCACATGGTATATTAGAAGATGGCAAGTATTACAGGGGAAAAAACAAGAGCAGTATAGGGGGGTGGAGAACACATTCTTGCAAACATCCTCTGTGAGCACTGGCTCTCCTTGGCTGCAAGAAAGGTGGGGAGAGATTGTGCAAGCATGTTTCCCAAGTGTCTATGAGGATTCTCTTCACACATTTTCTACAATAATAATGTAATTAAGCAGATAACTATTAAACTTTAGTGAAGGACATTAGTTATGTCCGTCTTTCATTTAATTCATAAAGTCATTTTTTTAAAATAATTTTTTATTGATTTCAGAGAGGAAGGAAGAGAGAGAGAGAGATAGAAACATCAATGATGAGAATCATTGATTGGCTGCCTCCTACATGCCCCACACTGAGGATTGAGTCTGCAACCGGGTATGTGCCCTGACCAAGAATCGAACCGTGACCTCCTGGTTCATAGATCAATGTTCAATCACCGAGCCACGCTGGTTGGGCTAATTCATAAAATCATTTAAATAAGATAGATGTTGTTTTTGCCCCCATAAACTTGCTGTTTGTTGATAGCAACAATTAGAAATATATTCATGGATGAAAATGTGCAACACTGTAAGGTGCATTTTTGTCCAAATTAGATTTGACTCTGATTCTAATGAATTTCAGTTAAAACCCAAAAATACCGTTTTTGCAAAACTTGACAAAGTATGAAAGTAAAAACGTGGAAGAAAAGCTAAGAACGTTTTGAAAAGCATAGTAATAACGGAGGCTGGCTCTCTTTACAAAGTGTTGAAACATACAGGGGTTAAACAGTGAGAAATGATCAATGAAACCAGATATGGATCTGAAACAGGCTGAAGCGAATTCGAGAATCAGGTATATAACTAAAGCAAGAATTGCAGGAAGTGGGGAAGGCTGAAGCATCCAACAGATTCAGGGAGGAAGGAGGTGGCACACACAAATGGTGTGACGACTGTGAGTTTAAGGAAAGAGCTGTTACAGTGGTATGGATGGTGTGGGAGCTCCAGGGCCATTAGAACCCCAGAGCTAAAGGGCCAAGGGGGAGAAGGAGCTTTGGAAACCCGGAGAGGTGGCTACCTGAGGTGGGTTCTGAATGGCCACCATGACCTTCCCTATGGGAATGCAAACGGAAGCCAGTTGAGCCCTGGCCGGCGAGGGTTGGTGATCAGAGCATTGGCCCACGCACCAAAGGGTCACAGGTTCGACTCCCGGTCAAGGACACGTACCTAGGTTGCAGATTCGATCCCCAGGGTCAGGGTGTGTTCAAGAGGCAATCAATTGATGTGTCTCTCTCACATCTAGGTTTCTCTCACACTCTCTCTTTTCCTCCCCCTCCTTCTCTCCCTTCCACTCTCTCTAAAAGTCAATGGAAAAAATATCCTTGGGTGAGGATTAACAACAATAACAACAACAAAGGAAGCCAGTTGAGGGAGCTGGGAATAAATGCCAACTTCCCTCTCTTCCGATCCTCTCATCTCCTGCTGGTGCCCCTCCCCCTTGGCCACACCCAATAAAAAAAACCACAGAATAGGAGCTAGTCGCTGTCTCCCTGGCACAGAGCAGGATGAAAGAGGGTAGGGTGGTGGGGGGTGGAGGGAAGGAGGAAAACAGACATCACCCAGCACCACAGATGGAGTCTTTATACATAGTGCATGGGAAACTGGCTGCCTGTTTGGTGAAAATAAAAAGTTAAAGCCTTACGCCACACATTTTCACCAAAACAAATTCCAGACAGATTAAAGATTTGATGTTAAAAATTTTTAAAGCAGTAAGAGAAACAATAGCAAAATATTTCTGATATCTTGGCATAGAGAGAATGCCTTTCTAGAGATGTCAGCAAGGCAGATTGTAAAGAACTGATAACTTTAACAATATAAAACCTGTATGAAGAAAAATACAGTGTTTTTTTAAACTGGTTATTGCTTATATAACAAAAGTTAAAGGAAAGAATGTACTGAGAGAAATATTAGCAATATATAACACCAAGAGTTACTATCTTGCACATGTTAAAAACAAAACAAAACTGTTTTATGTAATAAGAGCAACACTATGGCAAGCAAAGGACAATAACAGTCATTTTGAAAAAGAGAAATGCAAGGGGCACATAAACATACACAAAAATGTATTCAACTCTATTTCTGATCAAAGAATTGCAAACTATAATAAGGTATCACTTTTGCCTTGATTTCACAAAAATCAAAAAGATAGTTTTTAAAAAAATCAAAATGATGAATGATACCGAAGGTAGCCAAAGGTGTAGGAAGACAAGCAGTCCCACACTGTAAGGAATGTAGGCAGGACCATTTCTGGTGGAAAGTCACATAATAGAATATGTATCTTTGACCTACCAGATTCACATCCAGAAATTTATCCAATGGGAATATTCAGCAAAGTGTGCAAAGAAGCTAACAGAGAACTGCTGATGGAAGCTGCCTAAAGAAGGAAATTAATAGCTACCCTGTTAAGCACAAGGAGACACCACACTAAGCCCTCACGGAAGGGAGGAGTCACACGTCCTCGGGAGGGAGGCCCCTGATCAGAGGAAGAGCCCAGGTGTCCAAAGATTAAATGCTGAGCAAGTTATTGGGGAGAGGTAGTGGGTTTTGAGGGATCTCCACACGTCTTGGTATTTTCTGAACGTTTTGGAATAGTGTTTTTAATTAGAAAAATAAATAAAGCTCTATTTAAAAGCAAAAACAACAACTTCAATTGTCAGGTAAGAGAATGTAGTTTGATGGTGCTTTATAAAAAATTATTTTTATTGATTTCAGAGAGGAAGGGAGAGATAGAAACATCAATGATGAGAGAAAATCATTGACTGGCTGTGTCCTGCATGCCCTCTAATGGGGATCTGCCTGAAATCCGGGCATGTGCCCTGACCGGGAATGGAACCATGACCTCCTGGTTCATAGGTTAACACTCAACCATAGGTCAAGCAAGCCACACTGGTCAGACATGATGGTGCTTTTTAATGAGACCATTTTAAAGGCTATTTATTTAAAATAAAACCAAATCACATTGTGAGGCTTTACTAACCTTTAAACGTCACACAGACACATATGACAGATTTAAAGACAATCTGAATTGCCCTAATGAAGTCAGGCAAACTATTTCTGTAGCACCTGTCTGCTACTCTGAAGCACAAATGTGGAAGGGAGAAAACAGAATGTCCCCAAACGTTCTCATTTTTGTCTAACTGACATTTGTAGAGTCCCTTTTAGGCTAAAATGACATGGTTGGGAGCCTCAGCTGAATAGTAGCTGGCCACAGCACGTGACTTTTTTCACTGGCTTTAATGTGGAATTCAGCATGTGACATGTTTGAATCCTTACAGATGCCCATAAAATTCCCAAGTTTCTCCAAGACTCTCCCTTTAAAATGCCTACACTCTTGCAGCTCTAGCACCAAGTAACAAATTAAATCTTAAGAAAATTATCCTACAAAAGCAACTGAAGACATTTCCACAGACAGACAGTCTGAATGTCAGGCCTGTGACAGTGTCACATCTAAAAGTTCAAGTAGCCTGTGAAAGGCTGGCATAAAACTGTTTCCTAGATTGTTTTCTACCCAGATAATCCAATCTCTGGTGATCCTGGGCCCTACAAGACCACCAATGTCCTTCTCAAACCCAAAATGAACCCCACACTCCCAGGGACCTGCACCAGGATTAAACAAGGCTGCAGGCAAAACGGCCCTGGGTGAAGGGGCTGATGTCAAGTGAGTCAGTCTCTGCTCCAGAAGGGAAGTCAAGTGCAGAAGCTTTCAAAGCATTAACCGATTGCTTTTATTATTATTTTTTTATATGGTAAAACAACTAGTCTTTAATTATATTTCATAAATCAAAGTCCAAACTAAACTCACATCTATATATATAAAAACTAAACTCACATCTATATATATGCAAAGTGTCCCCTCAGGAGTTCGATCGGGAGACCGGGAACTGATTGCTTTTAAAAGGACAAATGCTATAGTGCCCCAAATACCATATGATACTTTATTCTTTCCTAAACTAAAATTAGTCCAGAATGAGTCACGAGGATTACTATGAAAAGAAACTTAATTCTTTGAAGCACTTTTTCATGATGCTGGGATTAATTCCTATATACCAGGCCTGTGCTGGAAAGCTCAGAGACGGGCACTACCTTCCACCCCATCTCCACTTTCTCCTCCTAATTGGAAGTCTGAGGGGATTTGTTAAAACTCAGACTAATGGAGCTGGGAGAGGAGAAACAGGAGGGCATTCCAGGTTTCAGGAGGCTCTCCTGGCCCCAGCCTGCAGGCGAGGCATTTCCTGCTGCCTCCAATCAGGGCACTTTTCTCACTTCCCAGCAGGCAGGGCCTGTGACACACCAGCATCCAGCTCGGTGACAGGCACAGGTGGGCCTACAGGTATCATCTGCCTGCCAGAGACACAGTCAAAAGGAAGTCACATCCTGTTCAATTGTAAGAGGCGAATTGTATGGTATATAATTTATATCTCAATAAAGCAATTATTTTTTTAAAAAAGAAAGAAGAAAGGACAAAGAAAGAAAAAGAGGGGTGAGGGGGAGGAGACCAGATCCCCAGAAATTGGATGGGGGAAAAACAACAACCATAAATTCTAGTTATTCACGTATTTAAGGATAGTGAAAACCAACATCTTTGATTTACTTTGAAATGCATCAAACAATAAGATGAGCCTGGTTAGTGTGGCTCAGTGGTTGAGCGTCAATCTATGAACCAAAAGGTCAAGGTTCAATTCGGATCGGGGCATATGAGCAGGTTGCAGGCTTGGTCCCCAGTGTGGGGCATGCAGGAGGTGGCCAATCAGTGATTCTTTCTCATCATTGATGTTTCTATTTCTCTCTCCCTCTCCCTTCCTCTCTGAAATCAATAAAAAATATATTTTAAAAAATGAGTTGGTATACAGACACAAGGATGCAGAGATGGATAAATCTGTGAGAAAGTAACTATAATAAAATGTTCATGATAGAATCTAGGTAGTGAATATACAGGAGTCCACTGTAAAATTCTTTCATCTTTCCTGTAAGTTTGGAAATTTTCACAATAAAATGTTTAGGGAAAATATGTAGCTATTTTTCCAAAAATATGGCCTATATCAGTTACAAAATTTAAGAAAAAAAATACTAAAATAGGATACAATTTTTTAATTCTAAAGCATGTCCACCACAGACCCTCTTTTTTTAAAAAAATAAATCTTTATTGTTGAAAGTATTACATATGTCCCCCAATTTCCCCCTTGACCTCTTCTAGTGCGCCCCCGCTCCTTGCCCCAGGTCTTCAGCACCCTATTGTCTGTGTCCATGGGTTATGCATATATGCATACAAGGCACCACAGACACTCTTTGACTTGGCCTCAGAGTGACTAAAGAATACCAGAAGACTGCACTAAGTTCTCTGTGCAGCAACGGGGCTCGGGCTCACCCTGCAGAAACCAATGGACGCTTGGCCCATTGAGCCTAAGGCCACTTGCTGGGAATACAACATTTTTATATCGGAGACTCCAATCAGAGTACTTCTCCCACTTCCCACCTGAACCCAGCAGGCAGGGCCGGTGGCACACCAGCATCCAGCTCAGTGACACAGGTGTTTAAGAAAACAGTGATTCCAGCTCCCATTGCTTTGAGATTTACCTTAAGAACGACTGAAAAGTCAACATCCTTGGTTTCCTTCAGGCCAAGTGGAATCAGCGGGATTGTAAACGTCTCCCTAGAAGAAGCACAGCACCTTGGTTTATGAACATCCCTATACTGGCCACTCTGTACCTACAGCCTCCCCAGTAGCCCAGCTCAGGTCCCCACCACCCCCTCCTCACATCAACCCCAAACACCAGTTCATTTTCCATAAAGAAGACTCTGGACACATCCCTGTCCTGGTCCCAGCCTAACACACAAGGGCCTACCACCATCTCAATCAGTTTATCCCTCCAATCTCAGCCCTTCCTCCAGTAACTTTGCTGAGAACCTACCATGTGCCAGGACCTGCGCCTGGGTCCCACCTCGCCTGCAGCCCTCATCCCTGGGCTCTCAGTTGCCTCCTCCTTGGGGTATATCTCTCTAGGTGTCTCATCACCTGCATGAGGAAGGCCTTGAGGGTAGATGCCCCATCGGACAACTAAGTGCTCCTAGCTCCCAGCCCAGGGTCAGGCCCTGGCTAGCTACTTCCCCTCCACCTCATCCCCCAGCAACTGACTACTTGGTTACCCCATAGGTTACCCTGGGAGTGCACCCTGAGCCTAGTTCTTAGGGGCAGGGCCAACAGGAAGTGAACCTGGCTCAGGCTGTGTTCTGCAAACAGGGATTTAGCTCCCTGACCTGTAACAGGAGACCTCCTGAGGCTGCTCGCCCGGCCAGGGGAGAAGGCCAGGAATGCTAAACAGGGTGAATGGACAATGCAGCTGTAAGCTGAAACTGTCTCTGTGCTGGAAGGAAAACAAGGGGCTGTGCTCAAAGCAGGCAAGATCCAACGGGGCTTGTGGCTTCCCCAAAGCCCGCAGGGAAAGCCGGACCCTGCTGGAAGGAGATGAGGATGGGCCATGCCCCTCCCCTCTGTCCTCAGCACCCGCCTGTCCTCACCCCACATAGGGCTGGAGGCAAGGTCTGCTCTTTCTGTGCCTGTCCAGGAGACCCCCCTGGCCAGGGCACCCCAGCCCCACTCTTAGGCTAACCTCTGACCTCCCTGTGTTTCTCATCTGCACAATGAGATTGTTTCTTCCTTGCCTACCTCACAGAAGCGTTTAAAGATCAACTAAGAGTCTTATGTGGCTGAGCGAATGTGCAAATCTCTATCTCCTCTTCCCAATGGCCCAGGGGACAACTGGCCACTTTAGAGCCACACTGTGATCACACTGAAGCCTTATTGCATGTCTCTGTGGGAGGTCTTTACAATGGACATCCCTGGGCTTCAGTACAAGTGGGAATAGGAAGCATCCTCCATTTATCACCAAAGTTTGGCCCTGCCTTGCCTCCTCGAGGAACTTTGACCTTTTGGGCAAAACACTGGAATCTTCTGGTCTCATCCCCAGGCTGGCCTCTCTTTCCTCATCTGTACAATGGGCGTCTGTGAAGAGTGTAATTCGGAGAGTCTGATGAGATGATCTACCACGGGCTTCAGATCTGCGCCTGGCACACAGTAGGTGCCCCCAAAGGGCAGCCCCTGTTGGTATTAAATGGTCCAGAGCAGGATGGATCCCAGAACAGGAAGAAAAGGAAAAAGGAAACCATGACTTTCCGTCCTTTAATGGCTGGCCCCAAACACTCATTTTTTCCATGGTTGGGTTTTGCCTGGCTGAGTGAGAAAGGAGCTGGGATGGAGGGGGAGGGAGGCACTGGATGAGCAGGGAGAGGCAGAAACTGGGGCCAGGCTGAACCCCTTCCAGGGAGGGGACTGTGGCCCAGCTGCCGCAACCCCCATCCTGGGTGAGGCCCAGAGCCCAGAAATAGTGGAATCCAGAATATCAGAGCCCAGATGCTGCCTCTTACCGCCCCCCCCCCCCCCCCCCACCCCCCCCCCACCCCACCCGGGGGGGGGGGGGGGGGGGGGGGGGGGGGGGGTGGGACGCCGCACCCTGTCACACACAGAGCCGCAGGGCGATCAGGGGGTAGAAAAAATAAAAAATAAAAAAAATAAAAAAAAAATAAAGATCAACTAAGAAAGAAGCAATCTGCTTTGAAAACAGGAAGAGGGGGGATTCAAATGCAAGGGGGCATTATGAATGTGCACATCTCTATCTCCTCTTCCCAATGGCCCAGGGGACAACTGGCCACTTTAGAGCCACACTGTGATCACACTGAAGCCTTACTGCATGTCTCTGTGGGAGGTCTTTACAATGGGCATCCCTGGGCTTCAGTACAACAAGTGGGAATAGGAAGCATCCTCCATTTATCACCAAAGTTTGGCCCTGCCTTGCCTCCTCGAGGAACTTTGACCTTTTGGGCAAAACACTGGAATTTAATACCAGAGTGTAGCTGGGAGAAACACTGCACTGGTTCTGATTAGGAGACCAAAACCACACTGTGAGCCCAGAGCTGAGTGAGCCAGGGCCCACGGACATCACAAAGGGGAGAACAGAGGTTTCACAGGTCTCACGGGCTAACGCTCTCCCCCTGGCTCTGAAAAACACACCTGTGGCGTGCAGAGGACTGGGGACAATCAGGAAAAGCACATTCCAAAGATGACTCAAGGTTTTCAAATGTCATCCTTCTGTTAATCCAGGGATTGATTTTCTGACTGAGTTTCCCCTCGGGCTCTCCTCCCTTTTAAGAAGTTTCACTTCCCCACGCAGAAAAGGAGGCAAACTCTTCTTTGGAGCTTCTCAGAGTTATTTCTCCTTAAAGATGGACAGTTCCCACCTTGGGGCGAGAGACTCCCTGAGCTTTCTGAAAGCCACACCTTAATACCTCGCCTCACACAAACACTACCTATGGGACACTTCTGAATTAGAACATCCGTTCCTCAAATATTTAACAGAGCACATTTCTGAAGTCTCAGTTGCTTCTCCTCAGAGAACTCCCATGAGTCCCCTAATCTTTGACATAAAAGGCAGTTTAGACATGTTTGCATTCTATTAACAAAGTGATCCAGGCCTTGTGCTGGTGGTGAGGCCTGAGCCTCAAGGGAAGAAGACTGGGCAACCTGGGCCCCACCTGGCAGTTCGGCTCTCACAGCTAACCACAAAAGCACTTTCAGGGCATTTTTATGGCTGAGCCACCCAGTTCATGTGAGAGAGGCCATCTCCTTGCCTGGATCCAGCCATGCAGTTCTCCCATAAAACCATGTTCCAAAGGGTCCCAGGACAAATAAATGCCTTTGTCCAATTCTCCAGATGTTCCCAACAAACTTCAGAAGTTCATCCCTGGTATCTTGCTCAACCCCAAATCTAATCATTTCCTTGCTTCCCAAAGGGGATTGCCTCACCATTCGTGGTGTGGCATGATCTGAGGCTCAGAAAGTACCTGGAAGAAGCATTATCCACACTTACTCTGTGCTCTGATAGACTCCCACTGAGATGTTGAGCCCCTCCAGCTCTTCCTTGAGCATCTGCAGGTCTGAGTTCACAAAGCTCAGTTCCAGGCGCACCTGCTCGCGTACCTTGTGGTTCGTGGCTGCTCTGTTAAAAAAGAGGGGGAGAGAAGCACCCTCAGCCAGATATCCCAGCTGCTAGGTGAGCAGACACCCCAATCCTTGCAGGGGAGCTCTGAGATACCACCTGCAGATGTGATCAGATAAGGTGTCTCAGGAATGCCAGGCACCTGCCCCTTTTTGAGCCACATCTACCAGCAAATGGCCCTGGACATAGCCAATGACACTGAGCTGCCATGCATAAATCCTAAGACATCTCTGCAAAGAATCAGCCTTGAGAAGAGAACAGAGAACTGTTCACAGCCACCCATAAAGGACCATAAATTATCCCCTCAAAAGAAAATGGGTGAGAAAATAGAGGAGGTAACACTTCCCAGCTCATTCTACGAGGCTAATATTATCCTGATCCAAAACCAGAGCAAGACAGCACAAGAAAGCAATATGACAGACCAATAGCCTTCATAACTAAATATGCAAAAATCCTCAATAAAATATTAGCAACTTGAACCTAGCTACATATATAAAGGATTATACACCATGACTAAGAAGAATTCACCCCCAACTGCAAGGTTGGCTTAACACCTGAAAATCAATTAACGTAACATATATTATTAATAGAACAAAGGACCAAAAAACACATGGTCACTTTAATAAATGCAAAAGAAGAGTACAGGGGTCAGTTGGTTATATTGTCACAATAATACACAAGGTTGCAGGTTTTATCCCTGGTCATAACACACACAAGAATCAACTAATGGCCCTAGCCAGTTTGGCTCAGTGGATTGAGTGTCGGCCTGCAGACTGAAGAGTCGTGGGTTCGATTCCAGTCAAGGGCACATGCCTGGGTTGCGGGCTCAATCCCTGGTGGGGGTGTGCAGGAGGCAGCCGATTGATGGTTCTCTCTCATCATTGATGTTTCTATCTCTCTCTCCCTCTTTCTTCCTCTCTGAAATCAATAAAAATTAAAAAAACAAAAAAGAATCAACCAATGAATGCATAAGTGGAACAATAAATTGATGTCTATTTCTCTCTCTAAAAATCAATCAATAAATTAAAAACATTTTTTAGAAAGTACAGGCATGATATTGCTGAGTCAGTTCCAGACCACCATTATAAAGGGAGTCATGATTTATTTATTTTTTTTGAGTCATGATCTTTTTGATTCCAGACCACCATTATAAAGGGAGTCATGATTTATTTTTTTTTTTTTTGAGTCATGATCTTTTTGATGGTGGAGGATCTTGCCTTCAATTTGTAAAAAATGCAACATCTGTGAAGTGCAATTAAGTGAAGAGCAATACAACAAGGTATGCCTGTAATTGGTAACAGGTATGCCAAGTGGTTTGGCTCTGTGATAAAAATTTTAAACAAACTAGGAATAAAAGAGAATTTACAAAACTTGATAAAGGGCATCTATGAAAACTCACAGCTAACATCATACTTCATGCTTTCCCTCTTATTATGATCAGAAATGAGGCAAAGATGTCCACTTCTGCCTCTGCTAACCAACATTGTACTGGAAGTTCAAGCCAGTGCCAATAAGGTAAATAAAGAAATTAAAGGTACCTGGATGGGAAAGAAAGAGTAAAACTGTCTTTATTCACAAATGACACAATCTTTACATGAAACAAATACTACAACTAATAAATTTAGCAAAGTATATAAAAATCATTTTATAGCTATATACTAGCAATACAAATATTCAAATATTAAAAAAACAATTTCATTCAAATTAGCATCAAAAAGAATACTTTGGAATAAATTTTAGAAAAGAAGCACAATACTCATACACTGAAAACTTCAAAACGTTGTTGAGACATTAAATGTCATGTTTATAAATTGGAAGACTCACCATTGTTAAGATATTCATTCTCCATTGACATTTTCTATTGATATGATAAAATTGCAATAACAAACCAGTAAGCTTTTTGGTAAATGTTGACATGCTGACCCTAAAAATTATATGGAAATGCAAAGGACCTAGAATAATCAAATAATTCTGAAAAAGAACAAAGTTGGAGGACTTATGCTATCTGATTTTAAAACTTATTATAAATCCACATAATCAAGACAATGTAATATTGGCATAATGGACCTGAATAGAATCCAGAAATAAATCCTTACATTTGTGGTCAATTGACTTTGATAAAGGTGAGAAGACAATTCCAAGGGGAAAAGACAATCTTTCTGACAATTGGTCCTGAAGCAATTGCACATCCCTGGATATGTCAATGTCCCCAAGACTATCCCCAGGATCAGTGACTCATCAGAAGGACTCACAGGACTCAGAATATAATTGTACTCACGGCTCTGACTTTTTTAAATTTTTATTCTTTTATTATAATTGTTTTATTTTATTTGGTCTATTCCTTATTTTAATTTTTTTAATAATTCATTTCTTTTTTAAAATAATTATTTATTGTGAAATAATTATTATAATCATAGTATTACTATAATACTATGATTATAATAGTATTACATATGTCCTCCTCCACCCCGACCTCCTCCAGCCTGTCCCTGCCTCCCCACCCTCACCACCCATTGTCTGAGTCTATGGGCCATGCATATATGCATACAAGGTTCTTGGTTGATTACTTCCCACCCCCCCCCCCCCCCCCACCCCCCCCCGCCTTCCCTCTGAGATTCTGCACTCTGTTCATGCTTCCATGTCTCTGTATCCACTCCATTCATCAGTTTATTTTGTTACTTAAATTCCACATATGAATGAGATCATGTGATACTTGCCTTTCTCTGACTGACTTATTTCACTTAGCATGATACTCTCCAGGTCCCTCATGCTGTTTCAAAGGGTAAGAGATTCTCCTCCTTTTTTACTGCTGCATAGTATTCCATGGTACCACAACTTTTTTTATCCACTCATCTACTGTTTCCAGATCTTAGCTATTATAAATTGTGCTGCTATGAACATACATTCTTTCTTTTTTTTTTCTCCAATATATTTTTAAAATTGATTTTAAAGAGGAAGGGAGAAGGAGAGAGAAATAGAAACATCAATGATGAGAGAGAATCACTGATCGGCTGCCTCCTGCATGGCCCACACTGGGGATCGAGCCCACAATTTAGGTATGTGCCCTGATCAGGAATTCAATGGTGACCTCCTGGTTCATAGGTCTACACTCAACCACTGAGCCACGCTGGCTGGGCTACATTCTTTCTGATTGGTATTTTGGGTTTCTTAGGATATATACCTAGAAGTGGGATGGCTGGTCAAATGGCAGTTCCATTATTTAATTTTTTTAGGAAACTCCATACTGTTTTCCATAATGGCTGCACCAGTCTGCATTCCCACCACTCATGGCTGATTTATTATAGCAAAGGACACACAGCAAAATCAGCAAAAGGTGCATGAGGTGAGGTCTGGAGGAAATCTGGCACAGGTGGCTGAGACCCCTTCCCAGGGAGTCACACAGAATGGCTTAATTTGTCCAGCAGGGAGTTATGACAATACATGTGAAACACTATCTACCAAGGAAGCTGATTAGAGACATCGTGTCCAGGGTTTCTACTAGGGGCTAGTCAGGCAGGCATCTCTGCCTAGCGTGTTCTAACATTCCAGACTTCCAGAAAGAAAGCAGGTGCTCAGCATAAATTACATTATTTGTACAAACTTAGGCACAATGAGCCCCTCTAATTAATTCTGAGAATAGTGGGAACTCTCCTGAAATCTATGTTTCCAGACACCAGGCAAAGGCCAACTTTGCAAGCAGGCCTTTCTAAGGATAGCCATCTCAGGCCTGCTATGATAACTTCTCCACAACCTAAGTCTCTTTTTATTTTTTTTATTTTTAAATCTTTACTGTTGATCTAAGTCTCTTATCATACTCAAATATTAAGTCAAAAACGGATCAGAGACTACAATACAAGAGTTCAAGCTCTAAAACTTCCAGAAGAAGTTTTCTCTCTTTCCTTCTTCATTCCTCTCTGAAATCAATAAAGATAAAAATTAAATTAAAAAAACACAGGAGAAAAATCTTCATGACCTTGGGTTGGGCAAAATATTCTTCACTACAAACCGAAAGCATAATCCATAAAAAGGAAATTGATAAATTGGACTCTGTTGAATTTGTAAACTTCTGTGATTCAGAAGACACCATAAAAAGAAACAAAAAAACAAAGAAAAGCCACAGACTATAAGAAAATATTTGCAAATTATATATCTGATAAAGAATTTGCATCCAAAATGTATAGAGTTCTGTTCATTAATAAAAAGACAATTCAATTTTTTATGGGGAAAAGATAGGAATAGACATTTTACTAAAGAAGGTGTATGAATGGCTAATAAGCATGAAATGATACTAAATATCGTTAGTCAATAAAGAAATGCATATTGAAAGAATAATGAGATACCAATACACACCCCTAGATTACCTATAATAAAAAAGACAAACAATAATGTTATTGAGGATGTAGAGAAACTGGAACCCTCCTACACTGATGAATGTAAATGGCACAGCCACTATGGAAAACAGTTGGGTAGTTTCTAAAAATGTTAAACATAAACTTACTCTCTAATATTGTAATTCTGCTCCTAGGAATCTATATGAGAGAAAAGAAAGCCTATGTCCAAACAAAGACATGTAGGTCAATGTTTAAGTAGCATTATTCATAATAGCCCCAAAGTGGGAACAATCCAGAGATCCATCAACTGGCAAACAGATACACAAAATGTGGTACATCCACCGTACAGAATAGTGGTAAGCAATACGAAGGGAAGAACTGTACCCAAGTTCTCCACTAGAGGTTCTGACACAGACTTGAAGACCTTACAGGTGGGTTCCTCATTTCATACAGATTAGGAATCACTGCAAAACAAGTGTCAGTGAAAACCAAGTAATGAGCCAGGCCTTGCTGCACACATTTCCATGAACCATCCAGGCAGGTCCTCAGGCCATCCCTCAGACCGAGTACAGTACTAAACTTTATGCTCAGTTCATGGATGAGGACACCTGAAGTTCATCAGCCAAGAGCTCCAGCCAGAGAAATGGTACCTGTCCACCACCCCCTCCT